TGGCAAGCTCCCTTGTATTTAAAGACTCGATATTTTTTTAACATCCTATCCATTAAAATTCACAGTGAATGACGCAAGATTCCTAGCTACTGCTGGAGGGGACAGTTGTAAAGGCCTGATGATTCCTTGTCAATGCTGCAGAAACCCATGACTGAATGACAGAAATAACCTCTCATCAACTCAGGAAGGAGCCTTTAGGAGAGGTCTTCCTCATCTGACTTCTCTGACTTCTCTGTGCCTCTGCTGTTTGATGCCGGGTGGGAAACAGGTCTTGTATCATGTAAAGCCCTTGCAATGACCAGAAAATTTCAGCTGAAGAGGTTTGCAGCTGAATTTACGAAAGAGATTGGGTAGATGTTGTTTTGTCATTTTTGTTCTGACATTTTGGTCTTTCACCATGTTGGTGGCCTGGCATTGTCTCCTTGAGCTACCACCACTATTTCTGTTTTCCACAAAGAAAATTTCTATTTTCTTTACTACTGAAAGAATTATAAAGAGATAAAGAGAGAAAGAGAGAAAGAGAAATGGCTTATCATTTCTGCTTTTTCTCTGACACGAAGATGTCTGGTGAGTCATCCGAATTCAGATGAAAGTCTAGCGAACCCACGGTACTGCAGGAGCTGTTTCTCCATGACATACATTCACAGTCTAATATTATCTGTCTGTCCAAATTCGGTAAGTTTTACATTATTCAGTGAGTCTGACTACTGGGATATGTAACTGTCACTGAGATCAAATGAAATTATACAGATTACAAGGAAGAAAAGCTCACAGATGAAGGCATAAAAGTACCCTATTTGTTGAATGTGGATGAATAATTCCTAGAATTGGAGGRTTCTTGTTCAGGTACTTGGAATCTCCACCTCAGTCAGGTCCTAGTCACAGGCAAGGGTTTRATTGGTTTCTGTACAAACATTAAAATTAGGCATTTGAGTTCATACAGCTGAGGMCAGTTTGATTCTTCAGCCTATTACTCCTAATTCAGATTTAACATAACACTCTTACCTAAAGATCAGCACAATAGTGCTGTATTGAAATTTAGGTAGAAATACAACTGTTCTGAGGCTCAGTCACTAAAAGTACAATGAAATAATTACAGCTAAGGAAGAAAAGTCARAATRTCTGTTTCTCTTAATTTCCTAATACTTTGAGCTTTATATTCATCCTGAATAGAATATCGTATCTTCTCCACAAAAGAGATGATTTTTTRAAAATGCTGATTCAAAAATGTAAAGAAAATTGACTATTTTGACATTTAAAAATTAATTGTTCTTATTTCAAATAAATATGACATAGAATTATGACATTGTTGCTCAARTCCTTCATGCTTCCACTCCATCCTGTAGGCTGTTTTCTTCCCTGTGACATACCTCTTGCCACTCACTGCAGCCTTGCCATAAATCCCATAGTGCACCATGAAGTAAAGAACTTGGTCCCTGAGGTATGTGAGGCATTTAGACTGGCATTCTCAAAGGAAAATGACTCAGGGAAAGCCTTTACAGAAATAGGATATTGTATTCAAGGTGTATTTTGCCTAGAAATCCCAGGTCAGCAGAGTAACAGCTTTGCCCTCTCCTTACTGGTGTTGCCTTATGAGCCCCTAATTAYGTGTGATGCTGTCTGCAGTACAGAACTAGTCCAGAACTAGTACAGAACTAGTCCTACACAGGTTTAATTTTCTGGAAAATATTTCTTCTCTTTGAATCATGTTTGGATCATTCTCTTACCCTCAGCACAGGCTTTCCTGAAGAGATCTGTTTCGTTCTGCAATGGTAAAAGGTGCTCAGGAGTCTGTGTGTGCCCAGCTCTCAGCAATAGTGTAATGTGCACCCCCCAAAGAAAGTGGGCAGCAGCTCTTAGGGATGTTCCTTGGGTCTGTTTTGCCAACCAACTTGGCAGCCCTTTCCATCAAGAAACCAAGGCAGTGGGGATGGACATCTCGAAACAGAGCTTGGTCTGGAAGCTCTCTGGAAGCTCTCTGGTTGTTTGAGGGGGTGACTCGGACCCTCTTARTGAACTCTTATCTTGGTCTAATCTAATTTAGCAGTTCCCTGACTCAGAGATTGCTGGAACAATATGTCAGAAAAACAGTAATTACTGCCCGACACCTTGTCACACAGGGTGGTTAATGATCACTGAAATTAGGAACCAGCCCAGCACCTTTTCCACKGGCAGCAATAGAGATGCAATAAATCTTTCATGTATGATAGCAAACAACTTCCCTCATTAAAACAATTCTGTTACTCTATCAGCTTTTTTTCTTTTACATAGGCCAACTTTTCAGTTGTGAAAYACATTGCAATCTTGAAAAGCTTCCTTTGGGGAATAATTTAAGCAGCTATTTGGGCTTGATGCCTTCCTTTTTTCTTACACAAGCCACCCACCCACAATTTCCTTCATAAATGAAGTCACATTAATTCATAGAAATGCAAACCTCCCAATCTCTATGCCAGTCTCTTCTTATCAAGAGCAACAAAAATTCTTCTGAGTGAAGACTGAACAAGAAACCAAGCCTATGGCTGGTTTGTGTATGCTGCAGTATTAGTAATACCACAGGTTCCTCTTCCTGAGCTTTACCCAGGGGCTTTACAGCCACAACACAGAGTTAAGGTTGAGACCAGCAGCTGATCAAGGCACAGCTCTGTTGTCATGTGGCCCTGGAATTCAAATGAGGGAACCAGTACAGCAACCTGGAGAATGGCTGAAGGATTAAGAAAACAGAAATCATCTTTTAAATGCAACCCAAGGTGTTTATTAAGTTTCATTAGTGCTGCTAAACTTGGATTCTAGAGAACTGGAGATTGGCTGGTGGAGATCCAGAATATTTATGTGTTGTGTTGAAAACAAAAGTTGAAGCACCCCTTCCCTCACATCTGTGCCTGGCACACAGTGTCTCCAGAAAAAAAAAAGACAGGGATGGAAAAGAACATCCCTCATTTCTCCTGTCAGATGCAGAACCCTTCTGCTCGGATCTCAGCAATCAGTGCAAGGAACAAATCCTAATGTGGAGTTTATATTAGGGCAAGCGTAGCTTGTTTTTCAGGTTCTTGTTTGCAATGACCCTCGAGGTGCTGCAGGCAGCATGCACCACTTACACAGCCAAAGGCTGATTGGGTACAAGCAGAGACACTGAGAAGCTGGGAAATACTAAAGCCTTTGCATGGGATAGGGGAGAGTGGAATGTTTATCACAGATTGTGTACCCAAAGAGGCTTTCCTGCCCCTCTGTGTGAAATGGGAATTTTGATGAACTGCCCAGTAAGGCTGCTGGTACTGGAAGGCTTTGGCAGTGTCTGCTCCAACACCAAATGACGCCTTGACAGCGCTCCACATCCKTATGGAACAGCCCTGAAAGTGCCCTTTGCCTGTGCACAGCTCCCTCTGAGGCGCTACAGCTGCACTGGCAGCAGAGCGACTCWGCCGAGTACCAGGGGAGCTGATCTGAAAAACCCTCTTGAAGCACCAGAGCAGTGACCCACAGACACTCCTGGAGAAGACTCCAGTAACCTCTTGATGGCAGTGTGGGAAGAGCAGCCCTCAAGCTGAAAAACTATCTGAAAGAGGAAAGTCCAGCTGTGCCTTTCCCTTAGTGTGTATATGAAGTCTCCAGGAAAAGCAACAAGGAAAGTAACAAGTAAATACTGAGGATTGCATTAGYAGCAGACAGATGATATTCAGCTTCGCTTTGCTGTAACAGCAAATCCAGGTGGTGATGTGGAAGAGATGATCTCCAGCCATGTGAGATGTTAACTTGGTTGTGATGTGTTAACTCTGGGGCTCAGTTCCTGACCAAGTGAAGCCAGGCTGGCAGAGTTGCTGAAAACAGCGACAGCAAGAAGTATCGAACTTCCCCCTCTGGTGAAAGAGGGACAGAACTCCAGCAACATCTCTGGTTCAAGGCTGGTGCTAAGATCCCAGAAACAACCATGTCATCAGGGACCATTTTAATTATATTGGCCAGGATGAAAAAAACCCTGATATTTTCTATCCAACCTTTGCAATTATTTATATAACCTCTGGTATTTTGCAAAATGAAGGGAAGATTATTYCTTGTGTTTGCAGAGTTTGCACAGGGAGAGCTCCAGCTCTGTGTTTACCACTGAGTCACCAGCTTAACATCAACTCGACCATTCCCCGTAAGCTGCAGCCAGTCACTTGCACCTCGGCAGAGCAGCTCCCGCTTGTTGCCAGCTAACCCCTGGCAMAGAGCACTGCAAATGCTTTTGCCACATTACAGACAGAAAGTTCCTGCTGCTTTAGGACCAGCTCTTACTGTAACTGAAGCAGCCTACAAAGGTTTTATGTTCTAAAATTGTCATACACATTGTAAYGGTGGCTATTTTAACTTAACATGCTGAAGTGGATTGTGAGCTGTAGGAGATGATAGAAAAATCACTGTCTGCTTTCAATGGGTGATTTGTATTTAAGAAGGAGTTTAACTGAGAGACAGAAATGCAACCACACAATGTMTCTGACTCAGAAAGTCTCAAACATTTAGGCTCAGGTAGAAGGGAAGYGCTTCTAAAATACAGCTTTCCCTTTCTTAATATTCATCAGCTTCATCCTCAATTTTCATAGTAGCTCKCTCACGGTTCTCTTGGAAAAGAGGCTGAGCCTTCAATTATCAAATGGTGCATGCCCTGGCTCAGGGTAGACTGAGGCTGGAACTCCCAAGGGATAGGAGACAGTTGCTCAGCACCCATTACAGTTTCCCTGACACTTAGGAGAATTAGTGCAATTAGCAATTACAAGATAGAAGAGATTCTCAAGCTGACTTCAGGAATTCATGGATGCTAATTTTAATCTTCCTGAATGTAGGTTTTCTTGCAGAACAGAAATCTAGGAGCAGATGCTGCCCTAGAGAGCTCAAATATTTTTCTTGGAAGAAACCCTATGCTCCTGTGAAAAAGTCAGCAGGGGTCTGATCCATCTCTCATTTCTGTAAACATCCCAGTGTTTACAGCAACATCACAATGTTAAATATTACTGTACCAAATCCTAACTCATGAAAAACTTCTATGAAGGCAACAGGAATTCTTCYGTGGATAAGGCAAGCTGCAGCTTGCTCTAGATGGATGTAACCAGAGCCAAAGTTTACTCTCAGTTGCATTGGCAGGAGAACAACAAAACTCCATAAAGCTCCAGATTTACAGTGGACTGATAGTAAATCGTCTCCCTAGATACTGAAACATACCCAAAGGAATCAACTTGTCTAAATATCTCACTACAAGTGGCCAGTAGCACACCTTACCTTTTGACCTTTCACTCTAGCTGCAACTTCTGTTAAGCTTTTAGTTGTCAGAATGTCAGAATTTTCCTTTGCCATATGAATGCCTAACAATTTTTATTCTAYTAACACACCATCTTCCTGATTTGGGATACCATGGATATCTAAGCAAATGAAAACTAGATGTAACAATAATTTCTTGTTGTGTGTGCTAGAAGGAAAAGGTCTCCCCCCAGGCATTACACACGCACTCCCGTTTCTCTTATTGCAGTTCTACTTCACACATCCCTGTTCACATCCTCCCTTGATGAGGATTACAGGTCCCAGTCATCACCAGCATGCACTCACAGTTCCTTAAGCCAGGGGCTCACTGTGGAACATCCATTGCACTGTCAGCCAGGAGGGAGTCAGGAGCCGTGTTCTGACTCARCCTTCAGTCATTTGCCATGGGTAACACATGCTCACCTGCCCAAAGCCAGAGGGGCCTTCCCACTCCTTCCCAGACAAACCTCAGTATGAAATGGATGTTTTCAGGCTGACTCCAGTGAAATCCTGCCTTTCATTTCTCACCCTATACAGTATCTAAAACTGAAGGGATTTCTCTCTCTCCAGCAAGGTGTAAGTGTACTTCATTAGTGTGAGTGCTGGTACAGGTGATGTCATTACGTGGCCTCATCATAACACATCGTAATGAAAATGTGCATTTTTCTCACTCCACATATTTTGCTTTTGAATCAATGAGACTCCACTGTGGACTTTCTGTGTGATCATCTTTCAATAATTGAACCCCAAAGAGCATCCTCTCACATGCTTAATGCTTTGCTATTTGTTCCAGTGCGTAACAGATGTATAAAAGCCTTGATCAGTGCGTGCAGCATTTTTGACTGGTGTACTGCCTTTCTGACAGGAAAACTTATTCTCCTGCCCATTCACTCCGTAAGTATTTCAGTCTATCAGGTCATAACATACTCTGGTCTGYTAACAGATGTGGTGTTTTTACCAAGGTCACACTGTTGCACATTACTGCTAGAACTGACATCTCTTGAGGAAGACCTGCCTGGCTGCTCAGTGCAGGATGGCTGTGGAAAGCTGTCAGCTGAGTGTGGGGCACATGGAAGACAATCCTGCTCTGCCTGCACCCAACACTCAGTAGCAGGGAGCAGTGCAAGGAACACAGTAAGTCACAAGAGCCTTTGTGGAGCTGCATCAATGTACAATAAATGGTACAATAAGAGCAGGAACAGGATCCYGTTGTGTGCCAGCAGGCACCGTGTGTGACAGCTTGTACTGGATGGCTCCAACACCACCATGCCAGCAGCTCTGGGAATGGCTGGCAGCCCAAGGCCAGCATCATGCCAGGGCCGGCTGCCCCTGAGCCCAGGTGGGCAAGCCTGGTGCTYCCAATGGATGGGGGAGGCTGGGGCTCCATCTCCACTCTGCTGCCATCTGGCTTTGGGCACGTCCCTTCACCACCCTCACGTCTGTTGCAGCATCTATGCAATGTGGTTGCAGGTTCTCTCTCCCTCTATAACTGTTCCATTGGCCATTTRACTCGAAAGAAAATATCCCATTTTGGATTTGTACTTTGGATTATAACCCAAGCACTTGTACACTGCCCAGAAAAATAAGGCCCTGCTGTAGTGCTGACTTAAAACTCAGTTAAGATACCTTTTTTCAATATAATTTCTCATGCTTTGTCAAGAAGTTTGGTTTAATGAAATGTATCAACTATATTCTTTATTCTTCAGGTTTTATCTAGGTATAACTAAGTGCACATTTTTTTATATTTTATTAAATTTAAAAGTGTTAAAAGGAATGATAAACAGTAACACATGAACTGCAATAGACCAGATGGCCGAAGAGGTCTCCTAATTATACCCCTCTCTTAAAAATAGTTTGTGTATATTGGGATTTACCAGGAGTGATTTACAGTTCTGAGAAAGAAAATATGATACAACTGAACCAACAGATAACTTTATCGGGGAGATGTCACAGGCCTGGTCTCCATGGAGGAGGAGACTGTAATAAAGAATTGCTGTAGAGAAGCGTGAGCTGTTTCCATAAGTCAGCAGCTTTGGAGCTGGGTTCAACCAACCACATTGAAAGAATAACTATGAAGCCCTTGGCTTCTACACGTATTATAATTGCAGTTGTGAATAATAATTATTTACACATGCAGAACATTCCTATCAATCGATACTATTTAACAGGTAACATCTTTCAGACAAGTCAGTTACATACTGAGGAATAGGAACACAAACTGTCTCTCAGAAGAGGCAGCAGCTATTATTCCACAAACCAGGAAGATGGAAAGAAAAGTAATGAATATTATATCAGTCAGTATAATTTCAGTAGCAGGATAATTTAAGACAAAAATTTATCTTTGTAAAGGCTTTGAAATAGTTGCAAAGGTCAAGAGACACTATGATGTAATTTTGACAAAAAAAGAGTGCAAAAGAAAGGCTATTGACAGAAAGGTTAAGTTACTCAGAGACCAAGGGAACATTAGGTTGTACATTTATCCATACCTGATAATTTTCAAATAAAAATTTAGCTTTGCTACTTTCTAAATAAATTATTTAATAGAAATTATAATAACTCTATAAAGCAAGGAAACACAGAGGTAATCAAAATACTCTTTCTTTGGCTTATCATCCAGGCATTTCAGTTTCGGAACACAATTGAAAACTGCTCTTTCCTCTTCTGTGGGTTGCTTCTAAAAGTCATTAACTTGCTGTTGCAAAAGCCGATTAGTTTCAGTGTTCTGTTGCTTGAACAATTAAATTATTCTGTTTCCATACTGAAATCTAGAATTAAATTACAGGACATCAAATTSCTTGCAAATGCCTGGCAAGGTATCTACTAATATGCAGTTACATAAAAKAAATAATTTTCTATCAAAAAGTTTGTAATTATAAACTTGTGGCTTTGGACTTTAAAACCTCTCCATAGAATCATGTGTCAAAAAATGACCAAACCATGTCCCGTGCCCAACAACAGGATTCCTASAGTGCAGAATGAGTGGAAACTAACATTACTTAGGAAAGCTTTTCTATTTTATAATAATTTCACCCCAGGATAGGACTGGACACCCCACTCAACCATTCCCCAACTCTCACACTCGTCTTTTGTGTCACAGCAGCAAGTGGGCCCTTAATGAGCAGAGGGAGAAYCTCCCTCACTTCATTCACTTGTTCTACCCCTTTGGTGCTTCATGTCTTTGAATTCTGTTCTACAGGCTGTTAACGAGAGCTGCAAATGATCCAGGGTCACCCACCTTTGTTAAGAACAAGTAACAAAAAAGAAATTCATGCTCCACAGGGAAAAAAGAAAAGCCCTACTGAGCAGTGGTAGCTTGTTGATGAAGGAAGTGTATGTTAAGAATTCTAGAAACTTCACAGAAAATCTGTCCTTACAAGATGCTTGAAGATTACAAAGGAGAGATTCTCCAGAAATATCCATGACATGTACCTCATTTGACACAGCAGGCTCAAACCTGAGGCAAGATTCCTCAGCACCCATTCCCCGGCACCAGAGGACTGCACTGGGCTTTCATTCCTCCTGCAGACAAGGATGTCCACAAGGTGCAGAATTTCCCAAGGGGCAATTACATAGTCCACTGTCTTGCCCCTTCAGAGACACTTGTTAATTTACAGCAGAACTGATTAAAAATCTTGCCTCTATTAAGCAAAACTTGCCTGTTTGGTTCAGGCAGGTTAATCTATAAAAGTGTATCTTTCAAGTTTGCACTGTCATCCTTAACAAATCCRCATCCTACATTTGGCTAGGGAGTCCAACAAATTTGGTGCATGTTAAAACATACATCACAGGGGCTGAAATTTTCAATATTCCCATTTGTTTAACCACCRCAAAGCCCTGTATGTTCATAGCCCAAGAACTTTCAGCAACAAAGTGACTAATGTCTCAAATGTGGAACACAAAAATGTGCCACTGCATTTAGACGAACATTTAGCTCCAATGAATAGGCTACACTTAGAATCTTTCACCCTTTGTTTATTCATTGCTCGTATCAGTGACTCAATCCTCCCACAGAAAAATCAGTAGAAGGGCACTCAGAGGAACATTTTACAACTATTCCTCATCTTTTCCCCCCAACCTCCTCCCATCTCCTCCAACTCTATCTAGTACAAATTCCACTGTAGCATGTACAACAGCAGCAGATATGAAGGCTTTACCTGGTCTCAGAGGTATCCCCTCCATYTTTTTACTGGCTGGTGGTGAAGTGCTCTGGGCTTTCTGTCTCTGGGACAGGAATTGTAAGATAGAACAACTTTAAACCAGATCTGCTTACAAGATCTAATGATGGTGGCAGCAGTTACCACTGTGTTACCACATCCGCAACTCCTACACTGATGTACTAAGGTTTTGTAGAAGACCAGAAGAGAAACAACACATAAAACTTGGTGCAATATAACTGAGGTTAGACTAGAAGTCTGTAGTTTCCTGGGCCTTCCCTCATGTCCTTCTTGTAAACTGGAACAGCATTAGCTACTYCCAGTCAGCAGGGACCTTCCCAGACCTTTGGCAGGTGATCACAAGAAGTTCTTCCATACCATACACCAGCTCCTTCAGAATGCTAGGATGAATGCCAGGCCCCAGTCCATGCTCATGGACTTATGAGCATCCAGCCAATATAGCTAGTCTCTTACAATTTCAGCATTCACAAATGGAAAGTCACTGTTCCCACACATGAACTTCTGTCTCAGGAGACACCAAGAGTGACAAGGCAAAATTCCATCAAAATAAAACAAAAGACAGTCTAGATTTTCTTCCTTAACCAAATGACATAGCCAAGAGAACATCTGACAAATGATGATCATCTGTAAGCATAAAGAGGGGAAAATTCAAAGCAACAGTAACATTGTTATTAGTTAATAACATTAATAACATTGTTGAATAATGTTATTCAATAACATGAATCCTATTAGTTCACTTGCTTCCATAGGATAGAAGARAAAGTGGCATAGAACTTCCCACAACTGTCTAAGGCAGAATACAATATTCTGAGACACCCTATAAGCAGTCAGACCTTACACTTGGTAGAATTTGGAAAGGTAGTTTCTACCCGATATGAAGGTTGCTATCAAACCAACAGATGTTACATCATGGAAACAATGACACCCATTCCTAAACTGATAAAATTTGGTTTGTGTCCAGTTCAATGAATGGGGCTGGGCACTTGCTTGTGTAAGCTCTATAAATACACAAAGCAAAGGAACGTGGAAGGCTGAGATCTTATACATAGAAGAAAATCAAACCAGAGATTTACAGGTATCTCACAATCCAGTTGTCTACAAATCAGTAGTAACCTATTCCTTCCTCGTTCTCTAAAGAGAAGACAGTGGATACGCTGTGGTTTGTGACAGTGGTTGAGGTGCACCTTATGAATCCCAAACTATAGACTTGGCAGGTAAAAACTGATAAACCTCACTGCTTGCTCAGTAAATAGATTACTGGGGCCATTTTTGTATGTCAGCTGTATGATATAAAACCATATATACAAAAGACTGAAATTCAGCATCTGCTTCTAAAGTGGTTAAGAATAGGGGTAAATGAAAATACATAGGTACAAAAAAGAATTTATMCCAGGCTAAAACTCCCTCTACCTTAGTTACTTTTCCTGTGATACAGTAAGTTAGTYTTACTGTAGCCATTTTGTGGATTACCTCTCTTTTACTCTACTTCCACTAACCAAATACAAACATTCTTTGTAACAAACTGAGCAAGCTAGGGGTGGGTGGAGGGTGACATTAAATAACCAACACAGAAAAAGGGAAAAACACAGGCAGACGGAGGGAGAGACAGATGTCTTGCACCTAATTTCTTTCTCCATTATGAAATTAATTTAATCTACRTTTACAACACATAATCCTGTAAAGACCTCACCTGTTTCAGGCAACCAAAAAAGGAAGAACAAAAGCACAGGTACAATGGCTTTGTAACTCAATTTTCAGTCTACAGAATAGCACAGCATACAGATTTTAAGAAGTAAGTCTTTCGATTAAACTTCAGAAATAAGCTTTGCTTACAGCTAGAAAAATCCCTACACATTTCTAGGTTTTCTGTAGAAACAAATCTAATTGCTAACCTTGGGAAGGCAATACATTTCAATTTTTCTTAGACTGGTTAATGCAAGATTGACCAATACAGATTTTTTTTCCCTCAAATTTAACTGAACAAATAATTCTGTGACTTCTGAAAGAAGTAATGTAGTCATAAGGACTACACAAATGGATAGAAAGAGWACAGCATTGATTGTCAGAAGAGACAGTGGTAGAGAGCTGTTAACTGGTCCCCAGTTACTAGTCCAGACAGAATCTTACAGGAGCATGTATGTYTAATTATTGGTTTTACCTGACACAACTTTTTCATTTCCTTAGGATCCCGCTCATAGACAACTCTAATCTGCACACATTGGCAGATGTGTGGTTTGGAAGGCCTATTTCACAAAAAAAAAACTGTCCCAAAATCCTCACCAACTACAGCAAAAAAAAAAGTCATAACATTCTTTGTGATGGAAATGAAACAGATTAAAAGTCAGCACTGAGGTCTTTGGAATCAGCTGAAGCCTCATTTTTCAAGGGACTGACTTCACTGGATAGGCAATACTGTTAATATGGATTACATTTACATGTTTTAGCAGAACACATGAGAATCTGGTACATGACTGTGGTATGTCCACACAAATGTTATGCAAACACTGCAGTCAGTACTTACAGTTTTCTGTCTTCTGTGGAAAATACCATTTCTGTGAATCTATTGCAAGTATTACAATAGAGCAAACTTTGTTCTCAGCTAAGACACAGTCTTTCAAAAGTGCCTTGACAAAGAGCAGAACCATGACAGCACCGTGAAAACAAGCCTACTGTGCCAAGAGAAAAGCACTGCAGATGTACAAGCTGCACTCTTAGTAGGAAAAAGAAGAAAGAAAATAATTCATTTCATGAGAAGCCTCTTAAAATWTTTGAAAGAAAAACCTTTTTTAAAAGAAATTAAATGTTGCAAAGAATGGGAAAAAACATTAAATTTGGTCTCTGTATTTAGTATTATGTGAAACTTGAAGAATTAATTTTACTACTGACACTGGCTATATCCTGCAATGGTTCAACCTTCCAAATTCAAGTGGTGCTTTAACATGACTCATGCTCACATTTTAATGTAATAGCTCCAGACCTCTAGTTGCTGATGCTCCAGGGCAGTCAGGAGAGCACCTAGAACCAGATTTCTGGCATTCCATGCTTTTATGTGAGTGTAAAACAAGGTAAGCCAGGACTAAAGACTCATGCAGTGTTTGATAAGAAGCTACATTTTGGTTAGGAATTCAAAAGCCACTTGTTTATAAATAAACAGTGACACCATCATGTTTATATAAATAAGCCAAAAATTTGAAGAGCTTGGGAAGCCTCTCATAGCTGACATTTTTCAGTTTGCCTCTCTGTCTTCATTGACCACTMTTCTTCTTACAACTAGTTAATTAAAATGGGAGCTATGAACACAATGTGTTTCCACAGTTTATAACACAGATATATATCATCTGTCAGAGTGAACAGCAGCTCCTTGTGCAGTCACATTGTGTTGTGCAATATCAAAATTATCTGAATATGATGAGGAAACTGGAATGTTGCTGCCCTCAGAGTTCCTGGAGTGTCTGTACAGCATGATTTCCAGTACACTGTAAAATAATTTAGGCTGGAAGGGATCCATGGAGGTCATSTGGTCCAACACACCACACATAGCAGGACCAATTTCGAAGGTGGATCAGATTGCTCAGGGTTATCTGTGTTCCCAATATATTCAAGGATGGAGGTGTCACAGTTTCGGTGTAAACTGTTTGATCAATCTCCCCTAAAGAAAAGTCTACTATCTGTTCCATTTCCCTTGCTGCAAACTGTAATATGCACRGACAAAAATCAGACATCTCCAAAACAAAATGAACATACAGAATCATAGAATGGTTTGGGTTAGAAGACACCTTAAAGATTATCATTGCAACCCCCCTGCTGTGGGTAGGGACACTTTCCACTAGATGAAGGTCCTATCTAACTTAGCCTTGAACTCCTCCAGGAACGGGGAGTCCACGATCTCTCTCAGGAGCCTGTTCCAATGCCTCACTACCCTTATAGCAGAAAACTTCTTCCTAATATCCAGTCTAAACTTCATCTTATGGCCATTCCCCCTCAACCTGCCACTATATGCCGTTGTCAAAAGTCATTCTCCAGCTTTCTTGCAGCCCCCCGTGTAGGTACTGGAAGGTGCTGTAAGGTCCCTGGAGCCTTCTCTTCTCCAGGCTAAACAACCCCCACTCTCAGCTGCTCTTCATGGGAGAGGTACCCTTGTGATTAACTTGGTGTCTCTCCTCTGGACTTGTTCCAACAGATCCATGTCCTTCTCATGCTGGGGTGCCCAGAGCTGGATGCAGCACTCCAGGTGAGGCCTCACCAGAATAGAGCAGAGGAGCAGAATCCCCTCCCTCATGTCCAGGATGTGGCTAGCTTTCTGGGTTAAGCCAACTAAGGCTAACACCTATTACAAACATGGGAAACAGATAACTTTTCTGTAAAGTTACTCAAATACTCTTGAGGAAAAAAGTATCCAGTTGGTCCAGAAGACCAACAGAATGTAAATTCCACAAAAACACTTTTTAATACAGTATTATTCRTGCAAATTCTAGTCGCATTTGTTGTCAGCTACAAAAAACTTGCCTGCCATGCAGATAAACTGACCAGTGCTACTCACATGTATGCTGAAGACYGAACTCAAGCAGCTTAATAACTGATGGTGAATCTGTTTAGCAGACATGATTAGAGTAAAAATTTGAAGAGGATTTCTTAAAGGACTCATTTTCATTTCAGCCCCAAGTAAGATTTTTGAAATGTACAAAAAACATTGTCTACTGACACAGAAAAATATTGTAATTTGAGGGAAGTAGCCTGTTGCTTATGCATGCACATTTGCCCACTCTAAATAYAAAATTGTATTTAACACCAACTGCATAACTGAGCTTGCCTCCGTAATACTTTCAGAACTGAATATTATGTAAATGTACATCCATACCCTATGACAAAAGGCTTAAAATTTATCTTGCCTACCTTCAGCAATCTAAAAGTTAGTCTAGATTTGTTTTCCTATCTRCTGTCAACAGAGATGGGGTAGAGTGATCTTGCATATCTTAAGATGAAGCTTCACAAAAGTTCCATTTCTCTCCATTGTTTTTCTAACTTATACCAGGCATCTAATGATTAGACTGACTACCATAATTTCATGTATTTTGTATATTTAGATTGYTGCATCTTTAAGGGGAATAACTAGACAAAAAGATCAGGATGCGAAAATGCACAGAAGCACCAGRTGATTATGAAGTGATTAGCAGTGTAACCAATTAATTTTTGAAAACTCTGTAACAAATGCTTTTTTTTTTAAACAGAGCATTGAACTAGTCATAGCTTCAAGTGAAAACACRTACAGCAATTTCTTTAACTGATCACCAGACCAACACACATACAAAAAGCATAATTTAATTATCATCTTTTTGCAGTGAGCAAGCATTAACAATGAAATATTTAACTGTCAAAAGTCTTTATGAATATCTAAAAGCCTAATACAAATATCCAAATTATTAGTAAAGATTAGTAATTTGAAGTGTTAACAATAAGACATTTAATAACTCTGCATTAAATCTAACAAGCCCTTTCTAGAAGAATATTAATTTACAGTCATTCTTTCTAACAATTCTTTGTACAGTAAAAAAAATTAGATTTCTATTTTTCTGCTTCCCTTTCCCACCCACCACCCACATAGTTTTGCTCTCAGACTGAGCTACTAGCCGATCAAACCTGATGGTAAAAGTCCTCTCAACCAAGGGTCCAAGATCTCAGCTTCAGCATCCAGCTCAAATGCTCTTTGGGAATAAAATCCATGTTTTTGTATAATGTGCAAAGTGCAACTTTTCTCCAGTGCCATCAGAAGTGTGTGCTGCTGTGAACGTCATCAAAGAATAAACCAGTAACAATTAAAACTCCTCAATTTCCAACTGCTYTGTTATGGACAAATGTTAGATGATGTCTACAGGAATGACAGATCAAGCAGATTATACCCTGGTGCTTACTGGGTCAGGTATTTTTCGATTTCATTAGGTCAAACCAATGTTTTTACTCAAGTTCTTCAGTTTCCTCTGTAAAAAGGTCAGCCAAATCTGCCACTGTCAACACTGAAGCTTCTGACTGTTTCATGGAAGAGCTCGTGTGGCTGTGAGAAAAAATTGCACACAGGCATCAGAGAAAGAATCAATGTAAGCAACAAGCTGTGTGGACTGCAGACAGACCACACAACTCAGAGCCAACAGCTGCTCAGCAAGAAAACACACCTTCTGTCTGGGATAACACATACACTCATCAGCTACTGCTCTTTCACATTGTAAGTAAGATACAAAGTCCATCTACTGTGCCCAACAGTGGTCAACACCAAACACTGCAAAGGCAGCAAGCAGAACAYGGGATAATCCGCTTTGACCCCTTAACATTTAAGGGATTTGCCTCAGCTTCCAAGCATGAGGTTTAGCATTACTTTCAAAACATTAGCCCTCGTGGGATCATTCAACCACTGTACATTCACCGAAATTTTATGTGCAAAAGTAGTGCTACTTCACAGATATGGAGAAAAAAAATCATTCTTCAGGAGCTAAAACTGAAACCTTTCGTAACTACAGCCAAAGAAGTAYATACAAATTTTTAGTTTCATAATTTGTAACAGGCAAAATTTCCTTAAACTAAGGCCTCCTCCTAGGTTTGTCATGTGTATACAGGCTAGTTAAAAGGTACAAATCTCTTACACTGTCTGCATAACGAATGTAAATAGCATTTTTGGTCCCACTCCAATCCATCACTTACARATTTTGGAAAGATAAACACAATGAGAACTGCTTTCTGTGCCTGCACACCAGCCTGATGTATGACTTAATATCTGAGCAATGCTTGCATGGACTGTGAAAACAATGAGTATGACACAGCACCATTGCACAAGGTTTGTAGGATTAAAAAATAATGAAACAAAGAACCCATGCCCGGTGTTAGAGTTTGTAACAGATGATGTTGGTCTAGTGGCAGGCTTAGTATTACTGCATCAATTGCAATGTTTTTATATTAATGAAAATAGGTAAACTAAAAAGATGAATCAAACTGTGACATGTAATTTATTAACTGGGCTTTTATGAAATAAAATACACAAAACATAACAAAAATATTTTCCAGAGAATTAAAATATATTAAGCTGCAAGTTACTGCAACCAAGTTAAATTTTTTCAAGTCTTAAAATCGTTGTGCAAAAAAAAAAAAAATTGAAGAACAGTTGAAGTTTATATATAGAACTATGCATGCCTAGCCATAATAAAAGTATGGTGGAGAACCACCTTTTCATTTTCAGTCGATAATGATGTTTTAAAAAAATTCACCACATACCTTCTATCTACAGTTTTCAGCATAGTCTGCATTCTCTCTTCTATTGTTGCTTTTATCAGGAATCTATGAACAATCGTAGATCTGAATGTGTTTAAAAAAAAGAAAAACCTCCATAAGTGAGCAGAAGTTATAGTGTTACTGCTGAAGTTTATAACCATATTTTAATCTCATAGTAATTCTTGTAAATGTGTTGAAAGTGTGCCTCTATGTTTTAAGAAAATGTCACAGGTGATTAGCAACCTCCTTTGACATTTCAGGGTGCTTAGTGCTTGTCCCAAACCACACTTTCACTTCACTGATCACATTCTACATGAATATAAGCTGTATTAACTAAAATCCTAATGTAGATACTGGGCAAAGATCTGCTTTCTGTGTCCTTACTAGAAACATTCTTCAAGAGCCTAAAGAAAAGAGAGTTTTGCCCACTGGTTTTTATACATTATTCATTCTCATAAATTATTCCAAGAGACAAGAGCTCAATGTGATGGATAATTGAACATAATACCCAGAGTTTCAATAATATTATTTTTGAAGATAGCAAAATACAACATATATTTTTTTAAAAGAAGTCAGTAATCAGTAAACACTGGTAGAACATGAAATACAAAATGTCAATAAACATAACACAAAATAAAAACTCCATTTAAAAATAAGCTTTAGAAAGGAAAGCAGTAATAAAGAAAACTGCCAGGCACAAGAAAGTGAAATGGAAAAGAGTTAGTTCAAAAGATAAAAATCAAAAAATCACCCCACGATTCCCAGTATAAACATTTTTCAAAGTAAGAACCCTTGAAAGTGAAAATGGTAAGTTAAAGTTAAAGCTTAATCGGTTTTCAGATCTTAGGTTGAAACTTTGGCAAGTAACATTTCACAGAAGAATGCAGGGGGAATACTTTCAGATTCATAGGCAAAGGTCTACTCCAAAAAAAAGAGAAGTAAATAAAAACTGAACTAGTAATAGTAGCACTAGTGACACTAAACAGAGTAATCCCTTATGCTCACTGCTCTTGGAACACAGCCTTTTTTCAAATAAACCTTGCTGAAGTCTTAATTCTTAAAAAATACAACATATTCTTCCTGGTCTTATTGCAAGGTTTTTGCCAGACTTTTTGTGCCAGCATCATGCAAAATTACAGTGTGGGCTTTTGCAATCAATCTTTCCGATGCTCTCACAGCATATCCAAAATCTTTACGAACACACACAAATATCCACTTGTTTATTAACATTCTTCCACATACATGCTCCTTCATGCCCTCTCTTTGCTTTCATTTCCAGAACACAAACCCCACTATTATTGTAGTACTGGCTGCAGCTATTTTTCTTCTTCATGTACTGGGCTTTACAATTTTTTTCAAGTGACATGACACTTTAGGAAAAACATTTACATCACATATGTTGAGGACAAACTTTCCAAAACTTTTGTTAACATTCAGTACTGCCATGTCAAAGTAAGAACCCTGAAACAAACAAGAGACGTGCAAGCTCATTAATGTCTTCAAAACATGGGAGTGAGGGCAGAACTGTGATTGAAAAACTTAGCAGTTCTAAAAAGAGTGTGCTATAACTTTCTTTTTGGAAAAAAAATCTAACCAAACAAAGGAAACAAAAACCAAGGAAATAAAAAACCACCCAMAATTCAGGTAGTTCCTATTCTGGAGCTGAGAGTGACCACTTAGAACGARCCTCTCAAGGAAAGTCAAAGGCTATGCCTAAACTTAGCCACATATGARCTAAATGATGAGTTGCTCAGTCCTGCAAAACAGACATTTCTGGACATTTTTGCAATCAGAACTAAGTTAAAAACTAAGGTACCAATGGCACACATAAAATAGGGCAGCAGCTGAACAAGGTTTTTCAGGATTTTAAACTCAAGAGCCTACACTCTTCCTAAATGCCCAAATGCAATTTGTTTCTGCATCTTACCCTAGCAAAAAAGAACTCTCTAAAATACACAATGTGATTATTCAGCCAACTTTTTTTTATTTTAATGTTTCTGTCCCTTACAAGATCATCTTTAAAACCAGGACTCCTATGCATAACCTCATCTCCAAAATTGAAGAGTTCAGTTGACTAGAGTTATTCTCATTTAGAGTACACAGATCTATTCTGGACCATATCTAAACTATTGAACACAATTGTAAATCTTACTTTGTTTGGCCAATACGATGTACCCTGCCAATAGCCTGCAGCTCATGTGCTGGATTCAGAATGGGCTCCACAAGCAGAACATGAGTTGCTTCGATGATATTAAGTCCATTAGAACCAGTGTGAAGAGGTAGCAGCAAAATATTGATGTTGGGATCATATTTAAATGCAGACAGGTTTTCCTAAAAGGCAAACATCACAGCAGTGTGACAAAAGTTCCTCAGTGAAGACTGTGGGGGACAGGACTATATTTTAAACAAATTATAGCAGCTAATACAGGTTCCAGAGTGACAATCTTGCAGGTCTTGATCCAAGACCTGTCATCCCAGAACAAATATATGACAATTATTAGGAAGGCATGAACTTCTTGCAACACTGATCAGTGTGTCCCATCCTTAACATCCATGCCAAGGCATCTTTTCTCAAAAGTGAATGTACTGTTCATCTTCAAATGCTTTAATGTAGGGCTTTTTGTGATTATGGTTTTTAGAATTAGAGTCAGAGATCAAAGGTTCTGCCAAATAAATTTGCTGCTCTTTTAGTTTCTGAAATGAAGTAATGAAGTAAAAGGATCAGATTAACTTCCAGGAACTGTAATTTTCCCACTGAAAATTATTTAAGAAAAATATCCTTTATGTACCTGAAATTTACTAATTCCATTGATCTGAGAAAAAATCATGTTGTTGTCATACAAAGCTTTTGAAATTATATCCAACACATCTTGCCACTGTAAAAAAAAACAAAACAAAACCACACAACACAATAAAAGTAACTCAACATTACGAACAGCAAGACAACTAAAAATACTAATTAACTTCTCTACAAAAAGAGTAGATTAGAAAGCTTTTCAAAATGTTAGCATTTGCAATTAAAAAAAAATAATTTGTTAGGCACCACATCTTTCATAAAACTAAGTTAGACAGGTAATTAGAAAGACCAGCTCGAATAAAAGAAATTGGTAGCCATTGCATAAACAGTGTTACAATGTATCAACACCATCTGGACATTACATTTAAAAATATCTAGAATGTCTACTGCTTTCATATTTCCAAATCTAATTGCCCTTTAAAGAAACAAGCTTTTATATCTGCTGACTATGATCATTATTCTTGTTCCAGTTACAGGACTTGCCCTACAAATTCCCAAAACAATCAAGTGGCTGTAGAGAGTGAGTCAACAATTTGGTCGCTAAACTAGTTTCTGAAAATATTATGAATGCTTTAAACTCAAAACACACAGACAAAGACAAGACAGAAAATGGTGATTAATACCGTTGAGAAAACTAAAGACTTAGCCCCTGGATCTTTAAACTGAATTTTCTTCAGTGTTCGGACCACAGCTTCCACTTTGGTAGAGTGACTTCCCTTTGAAAAGTCAAAGAAGAGCACATCAGTAAAGCAGGATAGCAAACAGCTCCTTCCACATTCATTGCTCTATTAAATGATGTTATATTAGGTCTCTTACATATCTTACACAAAGTAAATCAAAAATTATCAGCCTTAAGGAAGGGCAGGTTAAGTAGCTCTGAACTGCTTTTTCTCTCCCTTATAATGCCCTGCATTAGGATCAGCAGTGTATTACAGCATGTGCAGCTCATGGAGGAATGAGGTACCATGCAGACACAACCTCTAGTTCTGCAAGAAACACAACAGACAGCCCAAGCAGGGCAGCTGCACCAAATATGCTCATTAGGCCTCTTGCAGTTTAACTTTGTAGCGCAGTCTTTAGAAAACCTTCCAARTGCGTATTAAAATTTCCCTACCTTCACACCTCTTGAAAATGGACAAAGAAAAAAACCTACCTGAATGCCATTTCTGTTGATTTTGTTTTTCATTCTGGCAACACCAAATTTATGTATAGTACTAAGAAGCTTGTTAATTATGTTTAAAACAGTAAGAAAATTGCAAATATAATTAAATTAATTTTTGAAGGATGGTGAGAGGAAAACATCTTCATATTGGGCATTCAGAAGTATTTAAATGCTTAATGAGTCCAACATTATATTCTACTTCTTGTCCATTTTGATTTATGCACTCTTCCCTTTCCCCTTACGTCAAGCAAGAGGATACATGAGAAGCAATTCTTTCTCYGTCTCCTTCAGTATGTACTTTGTCTTACAACAATTTTACCTGAAGTCTTTTTTAAAGGAGCTKTTACTTTCTTCCTAGTTCCTACATGCATAGTAATTTCAAGCTGTGTTAGATTCAGCTGGACAAATACTGTTTTATTTCTGTCTACACCTGTCTTTTGAACATTGAATTAACTATGTTGGCTCACTACAATGACAGATCAAATTTACTGAGGTCATGCTGCTTGCAGAATTGGCTGGGAAGGATGTCAGCAGTCCCAGTATAAGCTGGGAGCCAATGCTGGGCTGTTTGACCATTCACACTTTAGGCAGCTTACATGTAAAGGACTTTCTGAAGAGTGTTTTACCAAAGGCTGCAGTAAGCAGTACCATTTTATTACTCATGGTCCTCCACAGTGATTCCAATTCTGCAATGTCACTGACACAGACATAAACCAGCTTTCTGGTGGTTTTCTGGTGGAATGACCATGTCATTCCTGTTGCACTCTGTAGACATTGACACTGTTTCTCAAGTCAGATGGACAAGTAAAAATGCTTATGTTGGGAGGTGTTATGATCTGAGATGCTGACACATTTGCAACCCTATGGCAGCTGCCTGCCAATCAGAAATACCTACAGTTAGGAGATCCAAGACCAGCTTTTGGTACTTCCTACATGATTCTGGGGTCATTTATGTGCTTTTCCAACACTATTCGTCCCCGATTCACTGATGACAATCCTGACTAATCTGCTCTGTCTTTTCCTCAGAAACTCTTTTTAGACCTTATCATAGGTCCATTTTTTCCTTAGTTTAAAAGGTACTTGCTTTAGCCACTGTTGTTKATTTTTCCACCCTTCAGATTCCTGTCACTCAGGTATCACAAAGGTGACTTCATACAARATCAATAAGAAGAACAATGGCCCAGAAAAGAACAGCACAATGCTTGGTGGTCACAGTCTTTTGGYTCTATTTTTTAAACAAGACAACTAAGCATGTAAAGTTCTTCATCGCTTYGTCTATATTACATTAAACTATACTAGACTTATTGAACTAACAAGTGACTAAAACTTTGGCTCACAGCGCACAAAAAAAATTCAATTTTGTTCTCAATATTTATGGAGCAATGAAACTAACAGAAGTACCCTTGGTTTTCAGCCTATCTTAAAAAATGTCTTAATGTTTTCAGCCTGTCTTAAAAAAACCCACTCACTACCTCTACACCACGACTATATCATTTTGTTGAATATTCAGGTGACTATTTATAAAGAAATTGGCTAGTTCCAATGGATAATGTAAAAGTAAACATTAGAATCAAAACTATCCTCTAACAAACAATTTCTGTCTCAGATGACAGGCTGGAAACACCCACTGTAATACTGACCAGACACAGGAAGCTTTTACAAACCCAAAACATGCGGGGATGCCAACAATCTCTCTTTCAGTACAAAATGCTTCCATTTACGGTAGTTGTTTTGCATCTAAGGCATTAACTTAAGGTGGTTAGTGTTGGTACAAWGAAGAGTAAGATAGAAAGAAGGAGAGGTAGTGAATAGTGAAAGAGACTGGAGGGATTGAGAAAGATCAGATTAAAATATAAGCACTGAATAAATCACAGAAGTTTCAAACATATACTGAAAGATACTGATCTTGACCTCAGTATTCTATAGAAACCATAGGAAGTTCATAATTCTTTGTTAACTGTCCTTTAAAGGAACATGAGGTAGAAATTTTTACTTTAAATTTTATTTTATTTTATCTAAGCAAGATGTTGCTTGCTTAGATAGTAGGTACAATGAAGCTATAGTGCACATTTTCAAGTTTCATGAAGTAAAAATGAGTTTTTCTCAGGCAAATTCACACAGAATTCATGTTCTTACTTTATTTTTGCTTTGTTCAAAGTTTTTGATGCAGAAATACTTCAAGAAAACATAACKTTTTACATGGGACAGCAGATTACATGTTCTTATGCTGTCTTATTTATGAAATTTGGTAATTCTAGTTATTTTTAATGTAATTTGAAARTTTTCTTAGAAACAGAGTGATATCTCTAAACTATATGTGGAATTAATGTGTAAAAAGCCCTGCATGAGGTGAGGTTTTAAGAACTAGCACTTGAAAACTACAGCCTATTTACTCCCCCTGGTGCCACATACTGTCAACTACTTTAAATCTATAAACTGGAATTAGGAATCATCTACTCATAAAATGGATATTTTATTCAGGGGGGCTGAAATAACTAGCGTGAATGCGGTAGCATTGTCTTCAGTACAGGGCAGCAACCTTAGAAATTGTGCAAGGTTCAAAGAGACTTGCACAGATATCAAGGAAGTCTGTCAGCACAACCAGTTATTATTTTTAACTATACTAATCAGACTCAAAGTATCACAAGTCATGTCCAGCTGTATTATAATCATATTTTAATGCAAGACAGAAGTATCACCTAAACCAAAATATTACCAATGTCTTTTACCATTGCATTTTACCCAGATGCTACTGTTTTTCCACAACTGCAATAATCACTGATTTTTTTGWTTTTAAAGCATTCTACAAGACATTCATGCAGAGAAAACACGTACCTATACACTATGTATATGTCAGCATTGCTATAGACTCATGGAGATGCTGTCTTTTCCTCCACCCCTGCCTTTAATCTAATGAAAACCCTCCATTACTAAGAAAAGTAGATACAACAGTGCAATCAGGACTGAATTCCTACACATTTGTGYCTAGAAGTTTTGTCATTTGGACAAACTATTGATAAAACTATATAATATGCTKCTCTGTCTAAATCCATTATGAAATAAAACACAACAAATATGCACTGCTGAAAGTTTGGGCCACAGAGTTCCTGCAAACAACTCACCTTTACAGGAATATCATCCTCCTGATTTGCAGCCTCTGCAGTGAAGACATAAGATATTTCTTTATGAGATGTTGTCTGCCTGCAAATGGCACATTTAATTGAGCTCCGGCGGGTGCCTACACTGTACTGTTGGATGATGATTGCTATGCACTCATTGCAAAAACAGTGTCCACACGTCAGCACTGCCCACTGTGCAGGAAACAAAAAATAAACACAACATAGTTTCAACTTTGGATCAATGCAAAAGAAAAACAGTGTACTTATTGATGATAAATTAAATTTTCATAGAGAAATTACCTCATTTTCATGACACTCATCAGATTAAGGATGAATTTTAGAATTTTTAGCATTCCTGAATTTCAAAGTTTTCTAGCACAGACACATGGATGATCTAAAGAAAGTCTCTGCACTTTTTGTTAATTTTTTTCATTTTCTCAGTTTTGAACTTCAGGAAAGACATGACCATCTTTCATTTCTATAAAAGATGATTCTTAATGCCTTATGTAAACACAGATTAAGTACTTACATCCTTTTAAAAAACATTACAAAAATGTTTATACTTGCATTCTGTAAAATTCTTAATCTGTGCATTCATACTTGATTGGTCTTTATTAAATAAGYGATAGGAAAAGTGCTTTAATTTTTCCCTACTGGTGAGTCTGAGACAACATCTTAGAATGGTCTTTCCTTTTCTTGGTTCAATCTCTTTTTGAATGTACATGAAACAAAAGGTTGCATTGAAGAAGCTGGTCTCCCTTTGTGACTCCAGAACATCTACATGTCAGTCATAGCCTTACATAATAGAGAAGCAGTTTGTAGACCAGTTGTTTTGAAACTACAAATAGTATTTTTGCTGCACCAGTCTGTTCCATAGCGCATTTCAAGAGGAAAAAAGAAAAGTTTTCATGGGACCAAGTAGCRAAGTGAATTGACTAAACCACTGATTATTGAGCAGAAGGTCTTTCAGACTTTGCAAGGTTCTTTCAATTATGCAGAAACAAGATGCAAAGTATTTTTAAAGTTCCTTGCAACATGAAAGCTGTTATCATCTAAAGCAGCAGTCTTGCTGTTAAGAAAAGATAAAGAAAGTTAAGAGATTATTTCCCCTTTCAGTGAGCTCCTCCAGCTCCGAGATAAAGCATAATGGGAGTTAACAGGACTAACAGCCCTTGGAAGAAGAGCACAGAGGGGATTTTGGAAACATGGCAGGACAGCAGTTCACGCTTACACATGACTATAAAGCAAACAGAAGCTAAATCTCCTTAAAACAGCTACCCTAACAAAAAAAAGATAATTTAGTTTGACTGTACAGAAGTCCTTTCATGTTTTTCCATAATACACRGTAAATCAAGTTCAAACTATGGCTTTGTGCTTCATGATATAGATTAAGTCTCACCTGAATTTAAACTGCTGCAGCTCAGCAGAGAAGTGATGGTGAAAGAAACCCACACTGCCAGTATTTATTCTATTAGATTTTACTACTGTTTACATAAGTAATATCCATTTAGAAAAGAAAAAATACTATCAGTACGAGTTTTTACAGTAAAATAATAATAGTATACAATAGAAGTTTACCTATTTTTTCGTTCTATAGCTTTAAAAAGGGAAATGAATGTTTCTGACAAAAGTATAATTTCAGTTATAAAACAATCATGATCACACAGTTTTGCAACACTTACTCGTGTCAAAAGTTAAAAGCAGTAGAGCTGCTTGCATCTGAGCAAGATGTTATTTCACAGGAGAGGCTTGTTTGTAMATTACAGGAAGAGCTAATTTTCCCTGTTTCAATATAAGGTTCATTTAAAATCAGATGCTGACAATTTGACACACAACTAGCTCAGCTCTAGCTAAAGATGTTCTAACACAAAAACCTGCTGAATAATTACCTGTCTTCCCAGCTGACGTGCACAGATTGGACATGGTTCTGGGTTAACTCCCCCAGTAGTTTTATCCTGAGACTATAAAGTAGAAAAATATCCATAAATGTCATGGTTTGTTATTCTATATTTAAAACAAGCTTCTAGAAAAAATGATAATTAAGCCCTTAAAAGAAACCAAACCAAAGCATTGTGTGAGCAAATTAAACATATATTCACACACTCAAGTCCATCTTGATGAGTTAAAAAAAATATGTAATTTATGGTAAGAAAAAGGAGCACTTTTCATACTTCAGTCCTTCAGATAAATTCTGCRGCTCTATGACAGCTCTGAAAAATCCTGACAAAATATAAACTTCAAACAAGAAACTCCTCATAGTTTCTATCAACTTCACGTTATTGTAAAAACACTTAAATTATGCTTAACTATGCTTACTTTCACATAATTGTACTTACTCAAACACSTCGATTAAAATAACATATAATACAYGGGGTTTGTCTGGTTTGTTTTTTTTTAACACTTATTTAAACTCCAGACATGACTGTCCTTCTGTTTAAAGGAAGTAAACTCTTTGTAAAATACCAAAGGTATGCAGAGACATACATAATTTTATGAGGCTTCTGCTAAACGTGGCCCAGTTAGTTTTAATGAAAACCTTAAGCTTCTAAAACTAATTGATAGTTTAATAAGTGTGYAATTAAAAAAATAACTAAAATATATATTGCAATAAATAATTTTATGAACACACTGTAACACAAAGAACAGCACATTGAATTTCAAAATGTAATAAATCTTCACAGAAAACAAAATTTAAGATAGAAGTTTTAAATAACAATAATGGTAGGCTTCTTCCATGAGGTAAACAGAGTACATCACTTGAGTAAAGACCCATTAATCTTACTTTCTCCAGATTAGTGAGGTACAGAAGTTGTCCTAATTTCTTTTGAAGCTGCGATTTGGCAACTGCTTTGTCATTCAGAAGTTTCACTCGATTTTGCTCTACCTATGAAAGCAACATTACACATGTATTAAAAAAAGGTCCATTTTACAGTAAGGCTTAAATAGTTGTTTTTTTTTTTTTTTTTTTTTTGTGAAATTCAGCTGAATAATTCACTGGGGACAGATAGAAAAAAAGCTCATGCTGGAAATTTAAGATGTACTTCTTCCCAGCCAAAACTGATTCTCTATTTCTTCCCTGTACTCAGTATGAACACAGCACTGTAAATGGGCTGAGATGCAGGAGGTACAAAAAATTGCTTTTAATTATTTTATTTGTATTACCGGCTCTTTATGGAAACAAAATTAAATTAAAATAACCTGTTTTTTTAGAAGTTTCTTTTGAACTTCAATCAATTTGCCATCCATTTTCCTACAGTCATATATGTATATATATATTTATATCCTACACTCAACTGCTGGTTTAAAAAAAATATGTGAGAAACAATTATTTTCTCTATACTTCTTAGAAATTTCCACTTTTCATTTAATTTATACAAAGACAAAAACATCAAGTTGACTTTCTTTGAGATTAATTACAGGTGGTAGTGGAGAAGTTATTAATAATGCAGAAGACACAGGCATCTGAAGGATGAAGGCCAAGTAATAGGTGTGTCTTTTATGGCTGCATATACATACATAAATCTTAAAATTTTATTAGGTGTTTGTTATGTTAAGTACTCCTTTTTAAAAATTGTTTCAATACAGAGAAGAAATGTATTTCCTTACAGAAAGAAGGACTTTTATGCATCTGAATCTCACTGAAAAAAAGCACAAAATGTGTCGACAGAAAATATACACTTATTGCTAAAAAAATATTAAGAGGTTAAATCAATCCAGCATTTTCTGTATCATCAAAACAGTCTCTCAAGTGGGAAAGTAGCAACATGAGTAAGGAATCAGGCGGATTTAATTTTCCACCAGCTTGAAAAACTGGGCAATTGTAGAGAAAGGAAGGAGGTTGCTGCTGCTGAAAGGACAGCAGTCTTTTGGRAAAATGCCATTCTGGCAGAAGGCTAATAAAAATATATCAAAATAACACATATAAGCTCAAAATGCCCCATGGACTGAATGTAGAAATAGGAAAGAATTCTATACTCCACCAAGCCATTCTGGAATGGAAACAGAGACACATTACAGACCTTACAGATCCAGATGAAGATTTTATTTTTGTAGGAGGTAGGTTCCTTCAAAAAGAAACCATTCAATCCTGCCCAGTAATTTACCTCATGTGGTTCTATAATGTGGAGAACTGGTGGATTTGGTTTTGGCTCATCAGGATGACGCACTCGCAGTCGTTCTGTCGCCATTGCCAGTTCATCAATAGCAGACACATGATCCCTAAGGACCATCCAATACTCATGAAGTAACTGTAAGAAAGCCCCAAACAAATGAACAGCAGAACAGAATTGAGTAACACTTACATGACTCTGCCATACAATGTAAAATGGGAGAATCTTTTTGGAGGAAGAGAAAATATTTCTTTACAGTATTCAGCCACAACTGGAATTATAAAGGAAAACCAACAGTATAGATATCATTTTCCCTGCTCTCTTTTCCAGCCCCTCTGTATAAACAACTATAAATAGCTGTCTCTCATTTCTTCCATAACTATTAGTATTACAATAACTAATGCAACCAAAAATTCAGAAACAAAATGCCTTGCAAAACTAAACAAATGCAGAATAAGTTGTTTCACAGAGTATGATCCTTGTAGCTCAGTGTAGATTAGAGTAGCACAGACCACTGAATCAGTATTTCTAAGTCAGAACAGATGGAAAATCACAACACTGTCTTCATTCTCATTTGCATATTAGTCCCACCTTTTATTTCCTAACATAAAGGCACAAGAAAAGATTGTGTCCCTTCTTCGCAACACTGGTAAACTGAATTACAGAATGGACCAGTGCTGGATTTGCTGAGTCTTGCTACATTGTGATTTAAGTAAATAAATAAACACATTTAATTATAACTATAAACTGTCTTAATAGATGCAATTACATTGCTTAGTAATTTGATTAGTAGTCAGTATAGCTTCTAGAAACTCTTCAATCATATCTAAATCTTTTAAAATCAAATCCTGTAATAAGCACTGTGGAAAAGGCTGGTGTAGGCAAAGCCTAATTTCAGGAATACAACTTCAATTTATACAGCTTCAATTTATTTATAATATTTTTTTCATCACCATGTAATTTACTGTACCTTATATTCCTTTTTCCATGCTTCAAAGAGTTCCAAGAATATGCTCCCTTCTTCAGTTAGCCTAGCATCCATTCGGTGAGCTTTGGCAAAGGAGAGAAGAGCTTTCAAGGCACGTTCAGTTTCACTGGTTGCCCAGAGCCCTCTGCTTGTGGTGGGCAAACGGTCATCAACAAGTCCTTCTTGGTCTTCTATCATCTCCTCAAATATTGCCATTTGGCCTTTAACACTTGAAAACAAACCCAACACAGCACTTATCATTGATTTTGTACTTGCACATCCATCTGTACTTATTCATCATTTATGTCAGCCTTTTTATATATGGATAATGCAAACCAAGCAAATATAAACAGATGTTTTATCACCTAATGTATGAAAAGCTTGCTTTGAACACAGAGACCTCAAGAYGTCAGGCCATTTTGTCAGCTCAAAATCATCAATAGCTTCTTTAAAGGATTACGCATCTAAGTTATCTTTCAGTAGTTATTAATGTCACATTCATAAAAAAAACTTCAATTCTGACTTCTTATATAAGCAAAAATTGCAGTTAAATGCTGATGCAAAATTTGCTGTGTATTGCACTTTGTAAGAACAGTAGAGCTTCCCAATTCGCTTCCTGACATATAATGCTTATTTAGAAATACATTGATGTTTTCTGATTCCAGCAACTGCGAGGCAGAAGAGTTCCCACTGATAAAGACTTCTCAAAATGTTTCCTCAGTTATCTCAAGACTTTTCAATACAATTTTGACATTGTGAGGCATGTGAGAGATAGAAACACAAGAGAAAGCAGAGCATATAATCTGTCTCTCAGTATTGCCTAGTGTGCATACTTCTCTCACACCATGTGCTGGTGTCACCCTTCTTTCAGCTTCACCCAGTCTAAGATCTCTCACTGTAACATTGAATGAGGATGGTATTATACCACTTGCAGCCAAACTGCAAATAAATATTTGAACAAACAGGTATATGTGTTAAAATAGCATACTTGTATGTATACACACACTTTTTGAGCATGCCAACACTTAATTTCAAATGTATGGTCATATTATAGCMGCTTGATAAAAAGTGGCATGTATTCATTCCTTGGACACACTATGTTCAAATGAAATTTATACAGAAAAGTAAACCTAATAGAACTGCTATCAAAGCCATTAACAAGAAGTTGCTGTCATTAGGTCATAAAGTTATTTCAGAAAACATAAATTCATCCAACTTCCACTTTTTCTAATAGTGAYAGATTTATAAAGCTTATGAACTTACCTGTGCATAAAGAGCTTTGACTCATATTCGGTGAACAATTCATCAGCCTTACAAAAGACACAGCTGCAATAGAGAAAATTGAAAATACACGCACTCAGAATTTCATCAGAAACCAAATTATCATAAGTCCCTATTCCAACATATAAAACCACATGAAACCTTTTAAAAAGAACAAAATAACAATCATATGTACACTAATATAGTGACACAAGAAGATTTCATAAAAATAAAAATCAAGGTCCTGATTACCACAAATGGATCTGTGATATCTGTGTGCATACAGGTCCTGAGTACATAATCAAGACTTTAGTATGTTATTTCACATAAAGGAAAATTAAGTAACAGACTTTWAAAGTATATTTTCTATTTTCAAGACATACTTGTTAAGTGGAAGTCTAACAGGTCGCAAATGGCAGATAGTGGCAGCCTCAATAACCTGCTTCGAAGGAGGCCCTTCTAAGTTTTTCACTGCTTCTCTTACAATCTTCTGGAATTTCTTCACTTCATCCAGCTGGGTTGTGAGTAGATATTGAAGCCCTCTACAGTCACGGAATCTGATTTTTAAAAAAAGGGAAATAATTGTACATCGAGACACCAAATCCAAACTTGACCAAATCCAAAGTAGAAATGGAGTAGCTAAATAGCATTTATATACACCCACTGATATGTATCACAAATATAATAAAAATGTATGTAACCAAAACCTGACTCAGACTCTATTTAAGAGCATAAGTTCATTAATCTGAGAAAAKAGCCTGAAGTTAAACTATGAGAGCAATGTCCTTCCTAAGTCTCCCTTCTCTGAGATGAACATACAGACCTTCAGCACAGAATGCACAAGAGGAGGTTAGGAGAAAAGAGTCTATTCAACCTTTAGGAAAGACCTTATTGCTTTCTGTATTTATCCAGCTGGAAGGTACAGAGAAGACTGAGTCAAACTTTTCTAAAAGGCACSTGGTGAAAGAACAAGAGAATGCACACAAGATGCAACATAGGAAATATTAACTAGGTAAAAGGACTTTTATGTCCATTTTYTCCCACCAAGTGGGACAAATACTGGAAACAGGCTTCACATAGAGACTATTGAATCATCCTTCTTGGAGATACTTAACAGGTCAAATCCCTATGCAGCCTTCCTGGACTGAAGGAGCATGGGTCTGGATCTGTAAGATGGGGGTTGATAAAAGTGATCTCTGAATGTCCCTTCCAAATTCATTATTCYGTAATTGAACCCAAAAAAAGTGGTACTGTTGTCTTGAACATGAAACCAACCTCAAATTCTTTGGTCAGAAAAGCAGTGATGCTATTTTGTGCTGTTAGACAATATCAGCAAATAAGTGTGTCTACTATCCATTTAAGTAAGCTGATTTCTTTTAGATGCTATTCAATTTTAATGCAATAAAATTTGAATTCTTCTTACTCAGAAATTTCATAAGTATAAAAGACTGTAAAATCACTGTAGATAATACAGAATAACATTTCAAAGAACTCTTATCTAAGAGAAAACAGTAATTTTTCTGCTTTTCTTTCCAAGTCTTCTATCTAGTTGTGCTTTTTCAGGGACTGGTTTTGAAACATAGTTGCAGTCCAGATGCTCTGAAGCAAAAATGTCTGCTAACTGGAACTGCTAGCACAAACCAGTAAGAATGCTTGAGTAGATTTAACTGTATTTATGAGCCTATTTCAGTTATTCTCTTACTTCTCTGCCATGGAGAGTTTATTTGTCTGCTGTTTGTAGTTGCAGGTTATTTCGTTTTGCACACGTTGAACAAGCTCCTCATCGATGGCATACTGTATTGCTGTCTGGATGACATCCAACCACCAAGGAGAACCTGAATGTATCTGTATGAAAAAAAAAAAAAATATACTTGAACATTGGACAGAAGGCCAATTTACTCATTGCAGCAGAGGTGTATACTGCTCTTTAGGCCACAGTCAAACACAGACTGGCTAATTCCATGAAAAATGGAGGACGAGAGTATGATTAAAACATATACCATCTTCTGTTAAGTTTAARCACATGACTAAGAAACCTTCTACATGCTCCAGACCTTTATAACCCCTTTASTAGAATCAGATTCACCAAGGCTATCCACACAGAACAGCCACCTAGAGATACTGTCACCTCAAAATTTCTTCCTTCTCTCACAGAAGGAGATGAAAAGTTTATTTAATCAGAGAAAGCAAAGCTCCCCATGAAATTAATAGAGCAACACTGAAGTGACCTTACAATTTTGACAGGCAAAAGAAGATCCATGACTTTACTTTCTCATGTACCATTTGTCCTCATTTCTTTATGATTTCTTTACTATATGCTAGTGACAAACACCATTTCAGCTTAGGTGTTCATCAATTCATTAAGGGTTTGCTCTATTCCATATTCATATTGACTAAACATAAATAAGCCTTAAGCACACTGACTAAATGAATGTCAAAAAACGGTTCTCCTGGAAGTAATCTGACACGCCACAGAAATGCTTCGAAGGACAAGCCCCATGGCTTACTTGCCTAAATTACAGGTGAAGCACAGTTGATTTAAAAAAAAAATCAAGAATGGTGTTGAACTTCACAAGAATCATTCCCCCACCATGCACTTATGTTTTCAGTCATCTGTTCATCAGGTTCTGTGTGTGGGGAACACAGAATGTGTTTTGGACCTGTGGTGTGCCCAACTCCTATTCCAAACAGGCCTTCAAAAATTGTTAGAAAATAATAAACATCTACAGTTTTATATAAACAGATGAAAATAATATTTTTTAAAAATCTCAGAATTCAGATATAAAATATGAAAGAGGCACCTGCCTTTCTCTGAAGCTCCCGAATGGTTTGAATAACTGGCTGTAAGGCCTGATGGGCTTCTGCAACTTCTGCATTGGATTTACTCATATAATGTTGTCGAAGTTGTTCTGCCTGTATGGAAATAAGAGCTTAAACTATGCAAATATCACATCTGGAAGGAATATTGCAAATGTAAGAAACTCCCCAGTACCATAGTGTTTTTAAATGGTTACATATTTATGTGATACCCACTTTCATTTGTAAGCAGTACTTAGCAATATTTTGTTTCCTCTAGAATCTAGCATTTATTAGTAAGCCAAAAATAAACATTTGAGAAGAAAAATTACTACAAAGATGCTAACTATGGAATTTTGCTTTTGGACAAGCCCAAATAACACAATARGAACTCACTGCATTACAAAAGGGAACTGGAATCTAAATCAGAATTCTTACTGATCTGTGCTGAATAAGCAAACAAMAAGAAGATCCCAGAACAGTCTGAGAACAGGACAATTCAACTTTCCTACATATAAAACTTATGCATAAAACAAAAGAAAAGCTTAAAGTTCTTAAATTATTTCTAACTTAAACATAACTTAAATTATTTTTAAGTGCATCAGATATAATTTTTTTCAGATAAATTACTTCTAACAGTGAAAACCACTCTATGTATKCAAGTGCCTCCACTATAAAAGCAGTTTATTTTACATTTTAAAAACTGATGAACAAACAACTTACAAGTAACATGTATCTATCAGCACTACATACTGATTTCACTACATACATTTATTTTGTGCATTTTAGTGTATGTTTAAGTCTTTTTTGTTTGTTTGCTGCTACTAAGATAACTACATTGTTGTTACAGAGGCTAGTTTACCTCGAGTGGACAYGACTCTTGGGTGCTTAGATAAGCTGCTGGCAAAAGGTAGCTGTGAAAAACCACCTCTGCATCACATTAATAGAAAAAATATATTTTTAATCACTTTAAAATAATGTCAGGAGAATGTGGATTTAAAAATTGCTAGAATTACAGGTCAGTAAAAAATAGGCAGTATTTCTATAGCACTTCTATGAAGACAGGTACAAACTTTATATATTTAGGAGAACAAGTCTAATTAAAACAGAAAAAAACTACCCATATGTAGGATTTGCATAAAATTACAAAATATCACAAGATATCCAAATAATAAGACTGATATTCATCCCCACCAGAAAACAGAAGAGGCTGTAAGAACTGGGCCTGTGTAACTTGAAGCAGAGAGGCTTAAAGACTATTAAAGAACAGCATTCTAGCAGGCAGAAGGAAATCACCAAGACTGGGAGCCCAGGCACTTTACTGGAAATAATGGCAAGTGAATAAGGGACAATGGCTATATACTGAAATGGGAAAAAAAWTCACATAGAACCTCCCTACTATGATAATTACGAAGTATTGGCACAGGCAACTTAGCTAAATTATGAAATCTCTTTCCCTGGAGGTTTCAACAGCCCAACTGGATAAAGCCCTGCAATACGAGGACAGAAGTCCATGTCGACCCTGCCCTGAGGGGCAAGTTCAGCTAGACACTTTCCAAGATCCCTTTCAGCCAAAATAATGACACARTAATGACATTCTTTTGCAAATGCTGTCTTTATGTCCACTACAAGTAACCAATGGGGATGAGAAATCCCAGCTATTTTGCAAGATACTTCCCAGTTAAGATTAAGGATACAGTTAAACAAGCTTATATATACAGAAAGCAACACACAGGGAGTTGGTCATTTAGCCAAAGAAAAATAAACTTCACTACAGAAAACTGACTATTTGCAGTTAAAAATGAGGAAAGCTAAAGAAAATGTGAGGAAAAAAAGGACTCAGAAGAATTCAGGATGATACATTCTTTATCAGCAACATCTATGAAAATTACTTCCACAGGAATATGGAGATGGGGAAACAGCATTTTAGAGGTAAAAATTACTAAAAGTTCCATAAGACACACTCACAACATAACAGAGGCCACCAGCATTGAGAATAGCACTATTTTACTGGACATTACTGCTCCCATCTCACACACTAAACTACTCTTGATTTTACTGAGTTTAAGGGAAATTTATGTAGTTAACTCAAAAGCTATTTAATATTACTTCTTCAGTTAGAAAGAATACTGAGGGGACAAAAAAGGTATCCTTCAATATTTATGTAAAAACAAAATATGTTTACCTCTTCTGCAAGATGGCTATCACGCAAAGTTGGGGGAATTCCTGGGTGCTTTGCCAACAACTCCATCAAATTGTGTGTAGAATGAAGTCTCTAAACATATGCAAAGTCAAGAGCATTCATGAAAAAAATCCATTGCAACATTTGTGACAGGAAAAACCTGAACAGCCACGAAAGCTTACAGCAAGAAATTAGCATGCCATTAAAATCAGTTTTGTCTTTCACATCTGGAAGCATCTTATAAAGAAAAGAAAGATTCTTTTCCACATTTTACTGGGGTAGGAAACAACAGGAAAYGAAATATTAAAAAGACCTTCTTCTCAAAAGCAAATGAGGAGGCAAGTGTGATACCATGTCATCAGATCCTGTAACATACTCACCCTCCTAAAACAGCCCCTGACTGCTATGGAAACAAATTATTTATCTCAGAGCAAATTCTTTTGTAAATGTCTTTTAGAATATTCTAAGGAAAAAATTAATTTAGCCTATCTAAAATGAAATAAATCATAAGGAAAAARAGAGATACCAAGAGCTTCAATAATTTTTTCATATTTTTCATTTTTTTAAAAATAAAAGATACTGAAAAACACATGACCTTTTTGTTTACTTTTAGGGAAAATAATTTGATTGTTAGTATAAGAAAATTGTGCTCCTTTTCTCTGGCTTCACCCTATGTGTCTCAAACCAGACTGATATTATTATGCTACCTGCACAGTTCACACAAACTCATACCAATAACCTCCACTATCACAAACTTGTGCCCTTCTCACATCCTGGATTCTCTTCATCTTTGCCCTATTACTAGCTCAGCCACCTAAGAGGATTGGTCAGCAGTGATTTGCCATTATTCTAAAGAGCTAAGCCTACACAACTGAGAAGTACTTAACAGAAGTCAAATTTTATTACAGCAAGGCAAAATTAGGCTGCATACATTTTGAGGGGAAATGAAAAAGCTTTATTGGATTGCATAATCCAGTAAAACAATTTAATTAACAACCTTGTTATGAGCAGCTCAACAAGTTTATGCCAATATGTCTATGCAAAGCCACCAGGAAGTCACAAAGGAAAAAGAATAATCAAAGWACAACAGAGATATCAGGTGACCACATGCAACATAATCAAACAATAATTTACTCAAAGAAGCAAGTAAAGGAACAGACAACTGATCACTTTGTTGACATCTATCTGTCACTAACATTTTAAATTTCTTGTTATGCTGAAGAAAATTTTGGTCAATTTAGAAGTGATAGATCTTGAAGAACAATGAAAATGTTACTTAGGGAGCCATGATTTTTTGCCAGGAAAATATATCTATATTTTTAATATAGTATTCAAAAGGCATGAAGACAAATGCCTGAAAAGGCACTTYGATTCTTTTCCATGTTTTGATGCCCTTTTATGTTCTGCAGTGCAACTATTTTATTATTCYCAATCATTTGGCACATTAATATCACTCTCAGTGAAAACCCTGCATTCTGTAATCGCAGGATGTAATACAGCACCACTAACGTAAGCAGTCATGTGCACAAGTCTAGGAATTTAGCTTGTTAAGTTAACCGCAGAACAGTAGGTGGAGATAACGCACTGCTTCAGGGACATCAGGAAAACTTACAAGCAAGTTTTTAGAAATACAGTAAAATTACAATCACTAAAGATTGTGATCATGACAACAGGCTGAAAGTAGYTCAGCACACCACTGGGAGAAAGAAAAGACTGACCTGTTAAATCAAATCTAAAGTATTCCAGTTCTTAACTACGTCTCTTTACATTTCAATGCTCACTCACTTGCAAGGAATCTGTTTTGAGCTTTTCTTTGTGCTCTTCAGATGATCTTAATACTTCTCTGTACATCTCCGCAGCCAATGCATATTCCCCTGAATTAAAAAAAAAAGTAACAAAAACACAGACGTGTTGGTTTTTAAATATACAAGCAGCCATACAAATGGCATACAAATGCTGCATTACTTGTAACATACTAAGATGTTCTCAGAGAGTCTGTATAGTAAGTGTGTCTTTCAGCAATTCTTTCCTATTCAGTCCATGACCCCTCTACCCCAAAAAATTGGTGAAAGACAGAATATTATATTCTATAAAGACTAATGTAGTTTCCAAATTAAATACCTTTTGTAACTGCAAGATCCATAAACCTCTTAATCTTAAAATATGTATTCTTGGTGTCATAAGTCCAAAAAATCTCACATTGCACTAAAAAAACCCATCTACAACTCACTGCAGTAATGCATTGCTAAATTTGCACTACAATTATTCACTCTCCCAGTGAAAACAATGAAAGTTATGTCATACTTCAGAAATGCAGAAATTATTAGGTACATGCAGGGAGTATAACTATTGATGTAAGCTGCCAACATCACAATCACTTCTGAGAAAATAGATTATATTCTTCAGAAATGCAGAAATTATTAGGTACATGCAGGCAGTATAACTACTGATGTAAGCTGCCAACATCACAATCACTTCTGAGAAAATAGATTATATAACTAAAAAAGAAATACAAAATTGAAGTTGTGTATGGAAAAGCAGTGGAAAAATAAATCCATTTTAATTTTCTTTCCCCAACTGATGGCCATTTACTTAGCCAGTAATAGTCTTAGAGACTCTTAAAACATGGAGAAGAAATGCATAAAGACAGATAACAGAGTAAAACAAAAAAAAAATCCTCCTATCTATATGGAAGTGTAACAATTCTATGTCARTAAGATTTGTTGCTTCTTATATTGAAAGAGTTACAGTTGTAAGAGTGTAGTCCTGCAATTGGGATTGTAGTCCTGGGATTGCCATTACTAGAAACAGGCCAAAAGCTATCCCCTGAACTTGCAAGGCCTCAAGTTTGAAGCTTGTCAGGCATCCCTAGAATTTCTCTTGACCTGCCTGACCTTTTAATTGGCTTACCTGTGATAGCAATTTCTGTAATTTATTAGGTGCCTATGGCTAWTTTTTAGTATTTTTTTAAACTTTTGTTTATCTTTGTGTGGTACAAACACARCTTTATATAGATAGCAGTAACAAGCAGTTATTCCATGTAGAATGAGATATTTACAACTAACATAATGATGTAGTGTAGGGAAATACAGGCCCAGTAACAAGAGCAGAGGCTATTGACAAATAAAGATACAGGATTATAGGATGCAGTGTAGAGTACAGCCATGGGATGCTAAGAGATGGTGCACAGGCTTGGCAGTGAATAAGAAAGCCATGGCTATAAACAACTCACCCACAGTCAAAGAAATGCAGACTTAGAGCTGGACAAAACTGGTTTTAGGGGCAACAAAGAGAACAAARAAAGAGTATGTAACATTCATAAAAGGCATCATGTACACTAAATTTGGCGTTTTCATGGAGCTGCAGACCAGTGAAGAAAGAGAAGGATGCAAACATGCTAGCAAACATAAAAATGACCCTAACTGGATTATTGCATGAGAAAGAAACCATCAACACAAACATCTTATTCCTTCTGATGAAGGCAATAATAACTGGCCACTGAACTGCCACCACATCTATGAAACACTGACCTCAGGAACCAGAAGGGACTAAGTAGAAAGGTGAGCATAGAAGCAGGACAAGCAGTAGAAACAAGTAATTGTGACTGTTACTCTTTTCTTTGCCTGTAGCAATTAAATTTGGACTAATAACAATCAGACCTAYAAGATTTCAGTTAAACTAAGAATAAATTCATGGCCTCACTTTCACATAAGGTGTGCTTCCCCCTTCATGATACAAAAGACAGAGTGCAAGGGTAATACTGGGGAGGGAATTACAGATCAGAAGTCTGCCTCTTTTGTCCTGCTTTTGTTTCTCACCAGATTAAATTTTTATCAATATGGTTTTCAAAATAGGCCACAATTAATTTCTGCTACTAGTGTATTTTAGAAGCATTACATCTGTATGTAACTCTTTTTAACTTATCTCTATCAGAAACATATTTATTCCATCCTGCAATTGCAACGAAGTATTTCAAACCTACTAACTACAGATGAGAATCTGAATATAGTCTTTCTGCAAGGCAAGTAGGAGAAAAGGCAATTTGCTTGATCTTTTTGAAGAACACTTTGACATAAGATGGAAAAATTCAAACAGCTTGTCAACTTTAGAAGAACTTGGAAAAGAGGCATTTTCACACATTCATAACTAAGTATTTTTAATAAATTTTTGTTTAGTGAGATACTCAAGATTCATGTGATTGTTTCCCATTCAAAGCTTCTGTTTCCTTATAATTCAGACAAAATCTACATTGACAGAGCTGTATAGCAGAAGCAGCAAAAGGAATCCACAGTCAGCATTGCAGTTTGCATGGCCAGGGACACAAAGGAGCCCAGAAAGCATACTGATAAAACAAAAGCAGATTAAGTATAACCACACAAATAAAACTTTTTATCCTCCCAGTGCACAGAGATAGAGCATGTTCTTTAGTCCTTTACTGAAAGGAGTATAGAACATGCTACAGCCATTTGGTCTTACCTTTAATGATGTGGATACCAGCTAAACCATTAAGAGCACACACCAGCTGTCGGTGAGCTTCTTCACACTCTGTTCGACATTTCTTTTGCAGAGAGGCCAACAGTTCCTCCATGGTCATGGTGCTGAAAAGAAGACCAAATGACTCAAATTTGAAAGAAAATCATAGTACTAGAATAGTAAGAGAGTCATGCTGAGCAGCAAAGCAGATCATTATATGCATCCAACACATTGCAAATGCTTTTTTGAGATTTCTTTACTTATTAAAAAACCTCTAGCTGTCAGATTTTCTTCCTACTAGAGCTTCACCCTAACTTGAGTCTGTCCAGAGGCTGATATTGCGTAAGAGCACAAAGAAGTAAGATGCAAGAAGCAAAACAGAACTTGGTAAAATAATCCTTCATGGGGCAAAATATTTTTCTGCTTCTGTCAGTGATGAACTGGAAACAAGCAAAATAGACCTCATTTTGTCAAAAGCTGTTCAGATGAAAAGTTATGACAGACGACACTTCTACCCTCTGCTACCAATCTAAACACAAAACACATGAAGTGTCAATGTAAAGAGGAAAATGTGTGAAATGAGAACAAAGAAAACTAGCAAAATAATTCTAAACTTCCTTTTCTACATTTGTCATATTTGCAAATTATGGAATTTCATCAGAAGAGAATAATTTTAACACAAAAATACCAGAAATTGAGAGATTAAAGAGACAAGTAGGAAAAAAAATGAGGACGATACAAGAAGGAGTAACAAACACCACAGGTTAAAGAATGAGAGGACTAATAGGAAGAGACAGAAGAGTAAATAGTTGCAACAGCCTGCAATAGCTGACCAGARGCTGCTTCTAAGATCAGCAGCTGCTGTTACCCCCAAAAACCAACCTCCTCGCCTGAAACCCTGCTGCTCAGGCTCATTCACCTTCAGAAGAAACATTTACTATTTGATGTTTAGCACTGTAGAATAGAGTAAGAGGTGACACAATTCTTGCACAGACTGGGCCCAAATTATACTGGAAGGATACCCTTGCCGAGGCCTTTATTTTACCCTCCTTGCAACATTAYTTCAGTTGCAGAAATCAATTCTTGGTATCACAGTACACTGTTACATCAGAAAGAGCTTTAAATCAATATAATCGCTATTCATAATTACTGAATTCTGCAGAGGCAATGGTAAATACACATARCACCTGTGCATGCTGATACTTCCACCATTCTACCTACCGACCTTTTCAAAACCATCAGCAGCTCCAAGAAAGCAAAAGGMTGTACATATAAGTTATGCAATTTCATATACAGCCTGAGACTACCAATTAAAGCAAAAAGAAGGGTTTTTTTCACTCAGTTAAACTAGGAAAACCTAGAAAAATCCCTTTTGAGACCTGTTTTGTTGCTTTTTTTTTCTTCTTTGGCTGAGTAGATCTTATTTACTGCCTTCACTACACAGGTGGGGAAAAAAGTCATCTATCATAGAACATGCTCCAAACTAGGTGTTTATTCCAGGCTCTTATCCATATGTTCCAGCAACAACTTTCTTGTTTCAGTAAATTTCTCTTATTCATCAAAGGTCTTAGCAGTCAATTTCTTCATCATTCTTCTACATTAAACCAAAGACAGGGCCAAATCTCCCAATTTTGGGAATGTCCACTRTGGCAGCCGAGTTTGGGGGGCTACAAAAAAAGGTATGCAAATAGTGCTGAGAAATGACTTTTCTTTGTATATGTGATTTAAAAAAAATTTTAATTTTCATTGCTGGTTTTTCCACCAGTTACTATGCGACTGTCACTGCGCAACCATTTCCACCAAAATCACCACAGCACTAAGCTGTTCCCTTACTCTGCTCAGTTACACATCTCATTTATACTACACTGGCTCATTTTAATGCAAATAATCTTGTATGATGGGTGGGAATATTGATTTTCCCCGTGTTTGAGTCCTTGCTTCCATCTTAGCAGATGGCTATAGCAGTGTCTAACTATTGGTCTCGGCTCAAGTAGGTGCAAAGTCAGCTTCAGCTGCTTAGGCACTGTAGGTGCCCTGTATGACAAAGAGCAAGGAGCAGTACACGAAACATTTTACGTGGATTGAAAGAGACTGAATAGAATGGATGGACTTGGAAACAGTAGCAATAACACTRACAGTGCTAAAAGTTAAAGTTGCTCCCTACTTGTAGCTTAAAAAGGAAACACAGACAGTGCTYTCGGAGTCTGGAATGGAAACAGCCTGTTCTTGCACAACCTTCTTCTAATTGATTGAAAAAGTAGCAGCTACATTTCACAACAGGACTGGCACCGTGCCTTGGTCCAACAAACTGAGACCAAACTGATACTCGCAGGACACTTGTGAGGSAAGATGATCTTGAAAGCATGCAAAAAAAGGAAGAGCATTTGAGCAGCTTTCAAGATTGGAAACTACAATTATAAATTCTGCAACCTCACATTAACATTTTCTTTTAACTGAAGAATTGTTCCATTCTGTTGCTTCAGTTTGTTTATTATTTTTATTCATGAACATGAGTTTTGTATGAGACAAAAAAAAAAAAGCAGTGGGTTTACTTAAAAAAAATCTGGTTTGTTTCACACTCAATCTGCCACCTGCAACACCCCAGTATCTATCAACATCGTAAGGTTAGAATGTCCCTGGAGAATCAAATGCCTTCAGTATTATGTTTTTTAACAAAACAATTACATTAACAATCCTGCTGTGCCATGTTCAGCTTCTGAGGTCAGATCACCTTGCTGTGCCATAAACACACGTTTAACTAAAGAAGCTTAAAATTAGGCTTATTTGAGGACTGTAGAAGAGCCTGCACTGCTGGGGACAATCTGAGTTTTGCTTTGGATAATGCAGGCCGTTTAAGAAATGACAGAAATTCACCTTTTCTGTAGTGGCAGGAACTCTCCCCGAACAGCTTGTGGGTGACAGCAGGCCTGCCTCAGCCGCAACAAAGGGTATAGAATAGAAGTCACAGTCCTTCTATCTAGACTGCTAAGCTTAAGAGTCCAGTCCGAAATCTTCCTGAGTTTTGCCAATGCATCCTGGCAGCACACTTCGTGCTGGCGATGATAGAAGTGTCTCTCCACAGGAGAGAAGTGAAGCCAGTGTATATTTTCTGTCTGAGGGGGAATTTGAATCTGAAATTAAAAAAGAAAGTAAGCAATTTGCAAATAAAACTATTGATTAATGATGTTTGGGAATTTTAAAACTCAAAACTCTTATTTACTTGGTCAATCACATCCTTCTTAGCTGATCTCCACATTATCTTCGCAATTAGACTGTAGAGAGGCCGGGGATTTTTCCTACAATAAGGTCGATATAAAAGTTGGTCCCACCAATGTTTGACCCAGTAAGGATCAACTCCAAGGAAAAGGACTAATCCATACAAATCTGCCAAGAAAAGAAAGTATTTCTGTTTTAATACTTCACAGTATGTCTCAAAAAAAATTAACTTTCACATACAGGCATAAAATATCTACATTCTGGCCATTTTCCACTCATTTTCCATTCACTCCCTGAGAAAATATTTAAGGCAGGGGACTGGGTGGTGGAAGGTGGGGGATTCTCTCCTTTAGTTGATTTGTGATTTCCATACAACTTGCGAGTATATAGCAATTTGTGAGACACATCCCTAATTTCTAGTTTAGCAGAACAGAGTGAAGAATTTAAACCTACTCAGAGCAAAGGCAAGAGGCAGAAATGACATGATTGCMTATGGTTAACTGGGTTTGCCAGGTTTTACTAAACCAATATTGCTCAGCATCATTACTTCACAGCCTGCTGTGCACCGTCTGCTGCCCACAATCCTAGACGGGACTGCAATTCAGAAGAATTTTCACTTCTCTACTAATGCACAAGAAATTAACAAAAGACACTGTCCTGGTTTTTCGGTCTGGTTATTTGGTGGTGGGGGGACAGGACCAGGAAACCACAAAAATGGCTCTTTTGAGGAAGTTCTAGAAGCTTTCTCCTTCTTCTCCAGCAAAAGGACCTCTGCCCCCTGTGTTTTAGAACCAATTCATTGTGGCTCTGAGGTTGATGGACAGGCTGCCCATCAGGCCTGGGCCAATTGCACAGGTTGGTAACACCTCTGTGATGATGCATTGTCTTGTACTTAAGAAAGAATTCAAAACAAGACAGGGGCCGCCGCCATGTAGTTTTTAGGCTGTTACTATTTAGTTTTAGTWTTATGCACCAGGGAAAGACAGAGGAGGAGGGTGAGGAGATGTAAGAAAAAATGGTGACCCAAGATCACAGTAAGAAGAAGACAGGTGCTGTGCTGTTGCTGTGGGGCTCGAACATGGAGAAAACAAGCTGTTCTYGAAAGGACTATTACTTCAATGGGAGACCTGTATAGAAAAGAGAGCRACCTTGCTCTGAGGAAAACCTGGCCTTGGAAGACTGATCAGAAGCCAAGAAGGGGGAAGACGCTTGGCCCCATCTCACGTCTGAAGTGAGTTGATGCTTAGAAGAAATCGTGTTCTGTGGCAGGGGGGAAGAGGTGCCCTCCTGCCCCACGTCTGAAGCAAGTGGATGCTTAGAAGAARCTGTGTTCTGCCAGGAAATTTGAGAGAGTCGCCTTGAAGGACTGTTTTCCTTTCTCCCATGAGGTAAAGAAAAAGAATCCCATGCCATCAGCAGTTATACACTGACTGTTTCTTGGGAAAAGAACTTCCACARCTTGGAGCTCTAAGTACTCCTCTCCTATGGTGCTGGACAAAAACCATAATGAATAGTTTGATCGATGTTAAACTTCCATCCCCTGCCTCTCTTGCGCATGGGAAGGCACGGAGAGGTGGGGAGGGGCRATCTGGGAGAGAGCCAGGTTCCCAGAAAGAATAATAGGCGTCTCAAAACGTCCATTTTTATTTCTTCTCGTAAATTTTTCYCTATCTCTGTTCCCCTCCCCGGTGTGGTAGTATTCTTATTAGTTTTCAGTAATAAATCTATTTTGCAACTTAGGTTATTCAGCTTGTCTCACCATTTTCTGAAGCATATATGTATCTTTCTCTCAATTATGTTATCTCATCTAAAAGCCATARATTTTAGTGTTACTTGGGCTTTTGCTCTCCCTTCTGCCTCTCCGGTGGGGGGTGGGGGAAGGGAACATCGTTGGRTGCTTTGGCTCTCGGACAAGTTCAAACCACGACAGACACTTGAATTGTTTTCTTGCTAATTGAGAGGACACATCTTGCTAATTCTGCCTAATTCAGAAACCCATTACTTTTTGGAATGAAATTTAAGGACATATTGACTTTAAACTGTCTAAATCTTAGTGGGAAAATACAGAAGGCCACACTTAAATCCTGCAAATGGATACGGCAGAAACAGAAATAAGTGATCGTATCTTAYAGTTCTTAAAAATCTAGGAGCAACATTCCTTATTCTGCCAACTTCATGGTAATTCAGTATTCAGTTGAAAGAATCAAGATATTCACCAAATACATCATAAACCAGCGAAAAATCCTGGGAATCATTTCTACGCAAGAAGCAATTGTTTACCCAGAGGTCTTATCCCACTGTATTACAGGAGCAGTGGCACTGATTGAAATGAGTTAGCAGTTTTCATCCTCGATATGATGGGAGCTGTCTTAGTACAGCCTGAGAGTCTGTCAACATGTATTATGAACTATATGACATTTCAGATACATATTAATTCAACTCTATCACACACAAGAACTTGAAGAAGGTARTCATGACACTAAAATCAATCACATCTTTCTATAGGCTTGCTTTATTAACTATGTGTTCTTGCAACTATTAWGTGTATTTATAAATGTAATTCAAAATTCCATAATAAATCAATTTAAAATATTGACTTTTACAACTTAGTATCCAAACAACAATCCACAAATGCTTACACTGATATATCCACTTTCAAACGCATTGCCTCAATGTGTACCATATATTCCTAAATCCATCAGAGAACACAGGGAGACAAGGCAGTCAGTTCCCTTTCCTTTATTCTATCTCYGTCTGAAGTCTTTCTACAGAAACTGAATACCACACAGAAAAAAAGACAAGATAAATGACACCTGCTAACATACAGCTACCAACTCCACACGATTCATTAAGTCTTTACATAAGGTCACAAGACAGTTTCATAAGCTTTAGAATGATTTTTAGAATCTATATTCACAGCAGTGGATGCCCACAGTAGTTCATACAGCTATGCAAAAAGCAAATACAGCTTTGCTAGCTGTATTTGACTGTTCAAAGGGTTCTTTGAACAGTAACCAGAGCAGACTATCTAGAGCTGCAGTGGAGAAGGGTTAGTAATTACCCACTCTGCTAAGCAAAAAACTGAAGAAGAGACTTGAGTCAGCTATTAGACATATAGCTTCTCTGCTCCCTGAAGTATTTAACTCAGGGAGACAAAAATATTTCAGCTCTTCAATTTTTATATTTATACATGTATTGATGGCTTTATTGCCATGTTTTATTTTATGGCTTACAAAGAGTACCTAATGAATTCAGAACGAAACTAGCAGACATTTCAACTGCTTCAAAATGCTACCTAATTATCGGCACAAAGAAATCACATAGATTACATAAAGTCTCACCTTCTAATCCTCGCTGTACAGGAGTGCCACTGACACACCAGCGGTTGATTCCACTTAAGCGGAGTGCCATTTCAGCAGCCTAATAAAAGGAGATAGAGCCAATGGTAGGAAAGGACAGAGGGGAATATAGTCTGATGACACATGGACCTTATTTCTGAGATGTCTGAACATAGCAGACCTAGAACCAGCATTGGTACAATATATTATGTAGATGTATATAAAATTTTTAATTTTTTTTGAAGATAACTGAAAGCTGATAAAAGCCATGTCCTCCAARTAATCAAGTGCAATTAAGGGTTCACAGAAGGCCAAAAACATAGCAAGAAAAACTGTATGTTAAAAAATATGAAAAAATTAAAGCCTATAAGCCATTACGTAAGTAGCATTTTTGTCTTCCTGTCTTGGGCAAAAAGACTGGACAAATAGTAGAGCCCTGCAGACTCTATCCCTTGAGTTTGCAGACAGACTGCTGACAATTTTAGTTTCTAGACCCAAAGGACATATCTGTGGCTCTGAACCACATCACTGAACAGGCCAGTGTCTCGCTTGAAACTATCAAACACCATACACAACACGATGACCTAGTTCTTTAAACTGTCAGTATAGATTATGTAAAGTATTTTTTGAGCTGGATATACTTCACAATCTGCCAAAATTCCAATAGGAGAAGTAGTTAATAGTAAGTATCTCCTCCAACAGAAAATTCACGTCCAAAGAACAAGGGACAAGGACAAATTACAAGAATGTACTCTGGACATTAAGAGGAGATGAAAGGCTACTCTATTTACAATAAACTTGTCAAAACATTTTCAAGTTAGATGAATGTGTGACCGAGAATGTCATACCTTTGCAGTAGTGCATTCAACCATTTGTGCTTCATCGAGGCAGATCCTCCACCACTCCACTGCTACTAAGGGGCTCGGAATGGCCATATAGCGCTTCTGGTTCCTGAAGCGGCGCCCATCCTCGCTGTTACTGTGGGGAATGTCCACGTAGTTCAGTTCAGTGCGCAGGACGTCGTAGGTGGTGATAACCACCTCCTGCTCTGCCAGCATGTGCGGCTGCAAAAAGCCATGCTTCTTCACACCTTGGTACACCTGCAGAGATTTATACAATAGCAAAGAAGGAAGGTAAGAGACTCTTGAAAAAAATGCCAAAATATCAGTACAGCTTAATATCTGTATGCTTTTAGCARTGTTGTTCATATAAAAAAGAAACCATTCAAAAAATCTCTATTCATATAGCAGTATGGTAGGAAAATCATCTAAGTAAACTAATAATAAATACAATACAGTCATTGATGCAAAATTTCTATGTATATTTTTTAACTCTGCAAAAGATTTTTTCTTCCTCTGAAGAAGYGAAAACATCATTATTTTCTACAACAACTATTGTTACAATTGTTTGAAGACTAAATATTCTGTAATGCTGCATGGAACAACACTATGTAAGTCACTGCTACATGCCTAGTCTTCTCCTCTCCTTTATTGTAGATATACTATCTTTTTCCAAAAACTTTTACTCACAAAAATTTAATACATGATTAGGCAAAGACAGAAATATGCACCAAGTTATATAAAAAACAGAAAGTTTTATGTACACAAGGATTTCTACAGAGACTTAGGAGATGGAAAAAAATACTCTAGGTAAGAAACAATCCCTGTGCACCAACAAAATATTTTTAGGAAGCTCTCATACTGATATTTGTTCTATTATCAGAAGTACTTTTCTTGCCTCCATCACCATTTTAAGACAAATCCTTTCAGAAACATACAGAAGTTAAAATAAGTGCTCTTTACCCCTTGATCATCAGCACATCGTTTTGACTGCTAATTTCATTGTTAACCCTACTTTTTCTCCCAGTTATAACCTTCCTCTACATTTGTGCATAAGGTAACAGTGTAAGGTAACAGTGTTTCTGTCACCTGTAGATAATTTCCTTCTGTTCAGTGCCAGAGTGGGACAACAAAGCAACAAGGTCATTGCACTTGAAACAAAAGAGAGAAAGGCTTGGAAGGTAAAGAAAAAAAGAAACAATTTAACCAAAAAGAGCATGCTCTCTGAAACAACCAAGAAGAAATAAACAGCTGTTGAAATATAATGATTTCATCAAGTATTTATGAATAGTATTTGCAGAGATCTATAACTTGGCCAAGTTTTCAAGGCAGCAGGAAATACAATCTGCCACAAAGCAAGACCTACTGATAAATTTTAATTTCTTGTTCTATTACATAAAACCCTTAGAATTTCCCATGGGTTGTAAGCAGCTGAAGAGTAAAAAACACACTTCACATGCAATGCAAGTTGTCAACATGGGAAACTGATTCTTTGAAACGTCTCCACTACTTTCATTTTACCTTTACAGAAAAATAAACCACTAAATTTTCATTYTGAAGTAACACTGAAAACAAGTCTGACACTTGGCAGTTAAAAGAAAATTAAATCAATCATGTAAAATGGAAGATGTCACACAGTTTAAAGTCCTGGCATTCAGTATTTAAACTATTTTATTCCCACCATGTAAATATATTCCTGATAATTTTCACAAAAGCTGGTATTAAATTCAACTAGGCCCTAGGAAAACCATACAAGTTTTACACATTTGTTAGTTCCTGCATAAATCTAATTAGACTGCTCACCCAAATGGCACTGGAAACCTAGAATTCATTTATACATTGGGCAGTTACACATAATAACTGAAGGTACCAGATATATCCCTGAATACAAAGTTAAATCAATCTGCTACTGCCTTGTTCAAAGGGATTGATGGTTTTCAAAGTGCTTGATCATTACAAAGGTTCTTGACTGCTAAAAATATGAAGAACAAAACCTGACTGCATTGATAATAAAGATTCTTGAATGCTGTGATAATCGTATTTTAAAAAATCCTGTATAGCTAATTTTACTCTAAATATAATTAGCTTTATTCCAGTGACAGAGTTATCAGAAACCAAGTAAACGGTCTCCAAACAAGCAACAGCCTAATAAATATGGCAGATGTAGCAGAGACAACACCCAAGCTATAACAGTATTGTTTTCAGTAAACACCAATGCTCAAGACTTCTTTTATAAAGTCTGAGAACCAGATGTGTGAAACTACAGGCTTTACCTACTGAAACATTTTTTATCTATGAATGAGGAGGAGAAACAGTCAGAATTGCTTAGGTGCAAGTGTACAGTGAGACAACACTCAAAACACCTATAAGGCCTTTAAGTTCCTCAGCAATCTTTCTAACAGTCTTCCCTCTCAGACATGACCTGTTGTTGCAGCTGCTCAAAATTTGCTTCCATTTGCTATACAATCCAGTCCACTGATTGATCTCACAGTGAYCAACTAAAACAGAAAAAACATGGAGAACTAATTGCAGACTGTCCTTCTGGTACACCAGGGCACCATATAATACCAAAGCAGTGATTTAGCAGCAAGAGTGTAGAGGACAAAGACCTCTAAACTTCAAGTGATGCAGAATGTCGGACAGGAACCCCCATGCCTTGATAAAATAAATCTCCAGAATATGAAGCTATATCATCTTACCAGAACTCGAAGAGATGATGATCTTACATGCCTGTTGATCTCATCTACCCACTGGTGACAAATAGAACTTGGAGAAATGATCAGAGTCGCTCGTGTGGGAACTGGCTTCATTGCCACAAGGCAATGGGGGCAGTAGAAGGGCCTGCTCTTCAGGTTCTCCTCTCTGTAGTTTACACATTCTGCATGCTGCCACAGGTAACATTTCAGGCACTGCACACGAGCTTTGTAGTCAGCCAATCCAAGCTCACCACAGATGCATTCAAAACGATATTCAGAGGTATTAAATGGAAATACAGAACTGGTATGTTGTATGCTACTGCCAGCATGTTCTTGGGAATGTGAGGACTGGACCTTTGGGATTTCCTGCTGGACATCAGCAGTAGTTTTAGTAGTGTCAACATCAGGATGACTGCTCATGTCRCTGCAGACAAGGAGGCTGCCATGCAAATCAGGAGACTTTGGGACCACAGTTTCCTGCTTAACATTTTGCTCTTCTACAGAGTTCTCTTCATCTGCTTCAGATTTCTTACAATTTTTACTAGTTGTACAATAATCATGCTCTTCCATGGCAATATTCTCATGTGAAGCAGTTTTTAAGACATTTTCAGATGTTACATCACCGTTTCTTGATTCTTTGGTTTGAGTTTTAGCACCAATCAATTGCTTCTTCTGAATGTTTTCTGAAGTCCTTGCTACCTACRAAGTAAAATTAACCAAGCATGTCAGACTTTACATTCAGACTCATCCAGTGATGTTTAACATTTACCAGCACTACTTAATGCCTGGATTAATGACACAGTCAGAAGGATTGAGTGCACCTCAGCAAATTTACAGAAAACACCAAGCCRAGTGATGAAGCTAACACAGGTGAAGGATGGGATGCCATCCAGAAAAACYTGGACAAACTTGAGAGGTGGGCCCATGGGAATCTCATGAGGTTTAACAAAACCAAGCGCACAGTGCTGCACATGGGTTGGAATGCCAACACAGGCTGRSAGATGAACAGATTGAGCAACCCTGCTGAGAAGGACTTGGGGGTGCTGGTGGGTGAGGCAGAACATAACCCAGCAATGTGCACTGGCAGCCCAGAAAATCACTTGCAACCTAGGCTGCGTCCAAAGCAGWGTGGGCAGCAGGACCACGGAGGGGATCCTGCCTATCTATTCACTCCTGTGAGATCCCACCTGGAGTGCTGCATCCAGCTCTAGGACCCCCAATATAAGGACACGGACCTGTTTGTTGGAGCAAGTCCAGAGGAAGGCCACGAAGACTATCAGATTGCTAGAACACCTCCCCTATGAGRAAAGGCTAAGAAAGTAGGGACTGTTCAGCCTGGAGAAGAGAAGGTTTCAGGGTGAGCTAATTATGGCCTTCCAGTAACTGAGAGAAGGCTACAAGAAGCTGTAAAGGCACTATTTACAAAAGCACATAGTGACAGGACAAGGAAGAATAGTTTTTAAATGAAAGAGAGTAGGTTTAGGTAAGGTATTAGGAAGAAATYCTTCACAGTGAGGATGATGAGACACTGGAACAGGTTGCYCAGAGATGCTGAGGATATCCCATACCTGGAAGTGTTCAAGGCCAGGTTGGATGGGGCTTTGAGAAACCCGATCTAGTTAGTGGAAGGTGTCGCCATGGSAAGGTGGATTGGAATGATATGATTTTTAAGGTCCCTTCCAACCCAAACAAATTTCTCCACACCTTTTCTTTTTAATGAACATATAAACACACCAGTACATAGATATTCAAGGTTTATATCAATTTCCAGTTTGAGGATTTGGTTAATATTTACCAGTGTTTAAAAAAACAAATWCACAGTCAGAACAATACAACTCCCAGTGACATTTTTTAAAAGACTTATGACAGATAAGTATTTTAGTAGCTAGTATTTTAGCCTCAGATTTGATCTACTTATGATTTCTGCTWCTTTATTTATGAATGTCAAAGCAATTTCTGCAGTTTTCCTCATTTTTTACCACTAAGTCAGTGTTTCTGAACTAGTGCACACAGGCAGTACYGCTGAGAGTAGCATGTGATTGGCAGAAAAAAGAACAGCCTTTGCAATACTCCTTGAAGTAACTATGACAGCATGTTTTACCTGCTCTTTGGTTCTTTCTCGCTTCTTCTGTTCTTTGTAATTCTTTCCCAGCTTGAAAGACCCAGCCAGACCATGTCCTTTAACTTGCTCTACCATTTGTTCTGCAATTAGTTTTTCTAAAGTTCTTTTGAGAAGCCGTCTATTTCTCTGTGTGTCATACCTATATATAGAACTGATGTACTTAAATATTGCAATAATGGATGCTCCTTTCTTCACATTCATTTCCTTTACAGCTGCTAGTATCATTACTCGTAAGCCTGTATAAAGAATCAAAACATAACAACTTACAGCTTTAGATAAAATTAAAGTGGTTGCTCTACAAATTACTATTGCGCAGTAATTCTAAAACAACGTTGGAAAGCAATAGAAATAAGTCACTCAATTGTCTCACTGAGGCATAAAAATCACAGCTTATTTCACTGAAATGCAGAAACTCTTTACCAAGACCTCTAGTTACATGAAGCTCTGTAACAGAGTTCTGAGTTGGAAACTTTACTTTTAACTGTAGAGCACTTGTTTGTAGCATGCAATCCTATGTGACAGTGCTCAGCAAAAAAACAATTTCATTCTGAAGAAATGAAGTGTAGCCTTGAATTCATAGTCAGCGGCCAATATAAAACAATGCTAAAAGCAAAATGTATTTTAAAAGTCATCAGAAATACTTACTGGGATACTGTATTTTTTCCTTTAATTTAGGCTCCATTTCCTTTGGTTTTTTCTTTTTATTTCCCTCTAAAGGTTGAGGTGGAACAAAGAAGTTCACAAGCTTACCCTAATGCAGACAACATTAAATAGTTATTAGCTCATCTCTTCACAGTCACTTTGACCTTCATTAATCTTTTCACTTTTGAAAATTAGCGTGAGCTGCTAGAGATATATGTTCTGATCTCACCGATTTGCTCAGATAGCTCATTTCTAATGTACAGAGTGACACATCATTCAGTTCAGTTTCTCGGCAATAAGTGTTCAGCATCCTAACAGAAACACAAAGAGCAGCCCTGAAAGCTTCTTGGGTCCTCCACTGCTTCAGCATTAAGCTGCAGGAATCTACAGCGGTAAGTGATCTAGGTTACTGATGCGGGAGGAAAATATATATTTAATACATAGCTAGAAACAAAAGGAGGTAAGCAATAGAAATGAAGAGYCCTAGTTAGCTGTATAAAAACTATGTTTCTCCTTTTAGGGATTGCCTTCCAAAATTTTACTGTTATCAGAGTAATACATTAGCTAAGAAGTCTGTCCCAACTACTTACATCATGAAACAGTTTCACTAACTCCAACTCTCCAAAAGCTCTGGTCTCTAACTATTATTGTCAGATGGTGTCCAGGCACTTTAGTGCTTACACTCCCCTCTGAACTCCTTGGCGCTGACCCTCTCATCCATTTAAGAATCATCTTATTCTCTCAGAGAATTCAGACCTTTTAACTCATAAAATTACAAGCAGGCAGAAGATCATTATGAAAAAATGCACAAACAAACTGGCTGCCATGGGTTCCACAGGATGGAACCCACAAAATGGTAAGAGTTTACTTAAAAATARTGGTTCGCTCCCTTCAAAAAGAATTTCTGGGTTTAGCAGATGTTGTAAGTTTCCACAGTATGCTTGATGAGGAAAGTGAAAAGAAGGAAAACAGTTGCTAAGTAAGCTCATTTATTATATCAAATAGAGGGATCTTTATTCAGAGTGTAAATTGTCTATATTTTAGCACAGAAATGTGTCTAATGGATGTTTGACACTTATCAATATAATGAAGTGAAAGAGAATGCCTCCAACATAGTGAACTAAATTACTTATTTATACACTCTTGAAGCCTGTGCAAACTATATTTGCAACACAGATCCTTGATAAAACCACTGAACAAYGGCAAAGGATCTCGTGCAAACTTCCTCCACCATTTATGTTGCCAAGTATTATGTCCGACAAAGGGAAGAACTTGCATTGTAATACCGTTTTAAACACAGACTTCTAAAAACCAGAAAGCAATCAACTCAAGAGAAGTGCATTTGCATTAATTCTGAAAAGCATTTTCTTCATAATAACTCTCACCCTGGTTTCCTTACCTCAGGTAATGTCAAATCATCTTGTTTAATGTCTGGTCCAGTATGATTCAGAATAAGAGCCAACACTTCTACGGTTTTTCCAAGACCCATCTCATCTGCCAAAATACCTCCAGGCCACTGGGGTCCAGCAGTTGGATATTCACGGATAATACTAAAATTCAAGCAGATTTCCAGTGAAAGTCAGTAACYACAGAAAGGTGTGACAGAGAAGCGCGACAGAGAAAACACAGCATAGCTTCAGCAAGGCAAAGTTTGTAAGGTGAAGCATTATTATTTGTYAAGCTGAGGTTCACAAAAGCTAGCAAGCTTTTTGGGTGCATGAACCTGACCAAGACATAAATGTATGCCAGAATTTTTAGATTTTTTTCATCTCCTAATAGGCATTGCCCTCCTAAACTTAGCATATCACAGCATTAGTTTCAACAAAATTGGAATATTTTTATATTCACACGTGACAAAGATATGAAAGTTACATAGGGAAAAAATAAAAAGCAAACTAGTTTGCATAGGGAAAAAATAAAAAGCAAAAGATTCTATTCTAACCAAATTAATGAGAAAGGACAAACAAATTTAATAATGCACTACCTAACATCAATAAAAAGCATTATACTGTCCCCTTCCTTTGGACTTTAAAAAACTTGGATCAGAAGGTCAAAGCCTCCAATACTGTAAGTTAAAAAAATGTTAATATTAAACCACTAAATTACTGATTTTTTTTAAAGGCTTAATAGTTACATTTTCACCTCGAGATGTACATATTTACTTGTGCATTACATCCTCCAGTTTGTTCTCTTTTTTCCAAATCAAAAGTATCACTGTTTTAATTCTTTAGTTGCAAACTGAAAAACAGGTTACGGACTACCTTGTATCCTGCAGGATAAAGCTACCAATACAGTTTTCACCAAGTATAACCCTGAAGGGTTCTCAGAAAGAATAACTGTAAAAACATACCAGCCAGTAAATGGATTATAGTAGATTTTTACTCCATCCAGAGTGGTCACCTCCCGCCATAAGAAGTGCAATGTATTTTCTATGGAGAAAGTGTTCATGTTACTATGATGAGACTTCTCTATAAACAGCACACTCCTTAGAATTATTCAGCCTTTTTGTGACATTGAGATAAAAGGCTGAAGTCTGCCTCCACAGAGCTTTGTGGCCAACATGATACATGAACTGCTATTCAGCAAGACCTAGCTTATTTAGTGTAATACCCAAACAGAGGCTTTTACGAAAATAATGAACAAAACTTCTAATTAAACAGCAAGGAAACATTACTGCTGACAATACAATTACAGATTCCTCAATCATGCAAGTTTTTCAGATCCATATACTTGCCATTACTTGGAGTGCCCGTATGGTTCTCACGATGAAGCATCCAGTTCACAGCCTCACTTTGGTATGGCCTCAGAATGGGAATTAATGCAGGATGCTGCACATCCTTTCTCAGCAACTGGATATCCTGTTGATGGGTGTGCCTTACAAAGTCATAAAGCTCTTCAATATTTTGTCTCTCTAGTTCCATGTCAGCTTCTTCCTCATCTTCCTCCAGCTCATCTGCATACRCCAAATAATTCAAAACATACATTCTCAATCATCTTAGGATTTTTTTTGCTGCAACATATTTCGTTTACACATATGAAAACAAACAAAGCAAAATGTCATTTAAACATATGCCATGACTGTATCTGACTCAGCTATCGGCAGCAGGAAATAATGAGGAGTTTAATAATTGAAATAAAGTAAAATAATGTACTAACAGCAACAGCAGTACTAACAATAGTAATAGTAATGAAAAGGAAAAAGAGAGAGATTAATAAAACCCAAGAAACAAGTGATGAGCATTACAATTGCTAACCACTCACTGATCAACTCCCGGCCCATCCTCTAGAGGCTACTTGGAACAGATTGGGAACTCCCACCAGTTTATAATCTGAGGATGTTGTTCTGTGTTGTGGAATAGCCCTTTGCCTGTCCTGGCCAGAGTCCCTCCCTTCCTGTGCACCCGTTCACCAGGACAGCAAGGACTAAAAAGTCCTTGACTTGGGGTAAGCATCACCYAGCAACAAGTAACACAACATTCTGTTACAAATATTGTTACACTGAACCTAACATATGGCTAGGATCAGCTAGTAGGAAGAAAACTAACTTTATCCCAGCTGAAACCAGGACACCTGAAAGTTAGTATGCTATGGTGATCAAATATGTATACATAATCAGCAAAGCTCTTTCTTTAGAATTTAGATATAGAATGACCAGATCTTATTTATTTAATAAAGACCTTCCACTAAACATTTCCAACCAGTAGAGAATCATAAGTATCTCATCTTTCAGGTTTAAATACTAATACGGATCAATGACTTTATAGAAAAGAGAAAAACACAGTTGGTTGTCAAGGATTTTCACATTTTTCATGCAATAAAGTCTTTCTTATTAGAAAATTTTACAAAATTTACAAATTCAAAAAAAATTACAGGWGATTCTTTTCAGAGACCTTTCAAGTTAATCTTAAATTATTCATCTCGATAAGAAAATTGTAGCAGTAGGACAACACATAATTCTCACTCCTTGCATCATTGCAAAAATTCAGACAAAGCATACTTCCAAAACTAAAAATTCACCTCAAGAGAAGTATGCACCCTTTAGGACAGAAGCCCTAACCCTTCTTTTCTACCCTCTAGGAAAGAAGGCTTTGAGCTTATGTATTTTTCACATAATTGGATATATGAGCATACACAGAACTTAAACAATGTAGAACAAAAATTCATGAAAAATTCAAGAGTCAGCATTCTAGGAAACTGACAGAAGATGAGACTTGGAGGACAAGTTTAGTGTTTTATGCCCAAAATGAAAACATCAGTATCAAAAAAATAGACTGATACTAACCCTAGCTATCATTGGAGATAAATTCACCCTGCAGAATTTTTCTAAAAAAAAAAAAAATAAAAAAAAGGAAGCAGGTCAAGGCCACGATTTTCAGCATAAAGTGACCTTAAAATATATTTAACATTCTAATAAAAGAGTTAATGGCAAGCACACTTAAATTAAATATTCATTCTGATGCCTCAAGGCCTCAAGGCTAACACGGAAGATGTGTACCCTGCACAAACCAGAAAGCTTAATCTTAAAATAACATTCAGGAGTTGCTATTAGGACTCTCTTTCATGAAAAGCAAAAGCTTTCTTTCATTCAAATGGGTAGCGAAGGTGAAGAATTATTTCCAAAACAAAAGCAGGAAATTATGTGCCTATGTRTGGCAGCCATCAGTATCCTCCCCTAACCCTTTTAAATCAAAGGAACAATTCCAGTGCTTCACAAGGGAAAACAGAATTCTGAAAGACATTAAGTTTCTACATATTCATGACAACTATATATATATGATTTTAATGTGAAGAAGGTAATCAGAGTGCACATGTGGGGTTATTAACAATCCAGTCAAATGAAAAGCACCAAGCAATGCACTGAGCTTTATATATTAAAGAAACCATTCAAAGAGATCTTCTAGCACACACCACTCACTTTAAGAACAGAAAATTAGAGTGTTTGCAAAGTATAACTTTAATCAATGAATTCAGTCTATAATGACACCTATCATTATACTTGCTAAAATAACAGTCTTCAAATCTCATATTTCTAAGCATAGTAACTTCTACACAAACCAAGTCTATYTGGAATTTTACAGGGGACCAAAGTCTACAACACACTTTAAAGCAAAATTCTTTTCCTACAATTTGATTTTTTTCTGTACATAACTTTCTTGTTTTGTTCATTCTTTCAGATATTTCTTTTTCATAATTAAATAATTCTATGTATCATTAAAAGGATGCTAGCAAAGTTTACTCCTCTCTCAGTTACTTATTAAACACTGAATATTTAATTTTCCTTTCAACCATTTCTAAATGTAATTCAATTACAAATGTCTCATGGCAATCTTTTTTACATTTGAGAAACACATGGTATTGTACTGTCTAAAACTTCAGTTCCTCTGATGCTTTTCAAGTACTCTATTTAATTCCTTCAATGACTGAACTACAGTTCTGCTATTGCATCTGCAGTAGGATCCTTCAATTTCCAGATTGCTGCATAACAACATTAACATCATTAATGAAAACAGCCCAGATTAATGGAAAACTTTTTGCTCACATATAGTAATAAATTATACAAATACCAAAACCATATTTGGATAGAGAATTTATATTCTTAAAAATCTAAAGGCAAACGGTATATAATATACGACATTGCCAGCTACTCTAGCTCCATAACACTTTGGGAAAACAAAATCTGAACCATTTACCATTCACTGGAACAGACAACAATTCAGCAGACTTTTTTTTTTTTAATTTTCATTATGAAGACTACAGTTTTTTTCATACTAAGAAAATATCTTGCTGGATCTGTAAGCAATTTATTCTAGTGTGTTCACTGGAGCTACAAGAAGCAGCACGTAATACTATATAGCACATAAGGATACAAGCTATTACAAAACCAGCAACTTATTAAAMCAAACAAAATAAATTTCTGCAAACAATTTTCTCAAGGTGGTTAACTCTGCAAGCAATTTTTGAAACTCTTGCAGCTTCTCCATATTCTGCACAGCTATCAAGTCTGTAGAGAGGGTATCCTGCTGCATACATTGTCTGTGAAAACAAAGAAGGGCTGGAGGCCCTCTATGGGAGGGCAATCATGAAATGATACAGTTTTGGCTCTTGGAGAAGCAAGGTGGGGTAGCACCAGAATTGCTGCCTTGGACTTCCACAGTGCAGACCGTGGCCGGTTTAGGCGGATAGAGTCCCTTAGGAGGCAGCTCKGAAGAGCAAAGGGGTTGCAAAAGCCTCAAGAACACAACCTTAAAGGTACAGGAGCATGCCATCCCGGTGTGCCAGAAGATAAGAAGGCAGCGAACATMTGATTGAACAGGGAGATTTGGCTGAAACTTGGAGAAAAAAGAGYGTTTATGACCTTTGGAAGAAGGGGCTGGCAGTCCAGGAGGACTAMAAGGATGTTATGAGGTTACTGCATTCAATTTTGGGTCCCTCACTACAAGAAAAGCTGGAAGTGCTGCAGCATGTCCAGAGCAGAGCAATGAAGCTGGTGATGGGTCTGGAACAAGTCTCTTATGAAGAGCAGCTGGGGTTGCTTAGCCTGGAGGAAAAGTAGATGAGGGGGTACCTTAGTCCTCTCTACAACTACCGGAAAGATTGTAGTGACRTAAAAGTCGGTGTCTTCTCCCAAATAACTGAACAAGAAGAAATGGCTTCAAGTTACACCAGCAGAAGGTTAGATTGGATAATAGGGACAATTTCTCTTCCCAGAAAGGGTTGTCAGGCATTGGAACATGCTGCCCAGGGAAGTRTCTGAGTCACCATCTCTGGAAATATTTAAAAGATGTGAAAAAGTGGCACTTAGGGAAATGGCTGAGTGATTGACTTGGCAGTGCTGGGTCAAAACCTAAATGATTCAATGATTCTGTGCTTTCATATTAAATATTTTATCGCTTTGTTTTTTCCAGATTACTTAATGCATCTATGCTATGCTTGCCATAACTCGAGACGGACTKTTGGCCACAAAGTCTCAAACCCATCTAGAAGGATATTAACAGAATTACAGTGAAGAAAGCAAATTTATAAAAATTAAATGTAGCAATAAAGAAGTCATATAATCTAGTTATGTAAATCCTTGTGCACAACTCTATCAGCATAAGCATTTGCTCATCAATGTGGGGAACAAGAAGCCTCAACTTGGAACGTTACTGTGTGGATTTCAGTTTAGATGGATATTGACAAATGTTAAAACACCCACTTAGGTGTAATTTTACAAAAAACTCAACTGATTCTGTTTAAAAATGGGTGGGATTTAAAAAGAAACTAAATTGTTAGAAATGTTTAAGAGGAATGCATTCATCAGCATAGAATCAACGCTGTATTATTTTAGGCTACATCAATAAGATGGTGCTTAAAAACTGTTAGAAAATTAAACTAGTTTCACAGTGCATAATCACCTGGAGTATTTCCTCCCAAATATTTTTCATTTCTGTGACACGCTTTTTCTGAATTCAGAGCACAGCATAATACACACTATGGATTTACATAGTGGTTTAGTGATCATGCCTTGTTCTCTGATACTTTTGGGACAATTCTTTATCGTTGATTTGGTTTCACTAACACTGAACACTAAATTGATAYATTTACTGAGCTATACATCTACCTACTGAACTGCAACCCTATTTGCAACAGTGAGCAAAGAAGCCATCATCTCTTTCTTCTGCATTGCTTTATATYCATTTACTAAATTTCTACTGAAACTCCATTGCCTGCAAGCTTACAGTTATTCTTTRTCTCTGTTATGTTGAATAATACATTTAAACATTGCTGATAACATTTCACCAATCACTCTCTTTCTCAAAGCATTAGTAATACATTAAGCTACACATGCCTTTGTGGACTTGACTGGTGATTAGCAATCGYTTATTTCTGTTCTCCAAGCCAGCTATTTTACTTCATCATTTACATGGCATTCACTGGCATGAAATCAAGGCTATTATTATTTTACAACACATAAAAGTGTACACACTGRAAAATGGTCAGAATCTTTACCAGCTGGCATCATGGCTCCTTCATGAACTTGAGCTGGTTGCATGGCTTCTGAAAAGTTAAGGCATGACAACACAACTGCTCAGGTCCCCATTCTTGYTCCAGTGACTCTGAGGGGCACTTTCAGATAGTGCCTCTTCACCTGTAAACTACACTGAACCAGGTAGTCCATATAAACATATCCTTTAATCTACTGAAGACAAATGCCCCAGGTTCCACCAACAAATTATTTTTGATCTCAAAACAAATCRCCAGTCATTTTCTTCACAAACCATCTCTTTCCCCAACTCTACCACAGTGAGAAGACATGCAGAGAAGAAAACTGTGCTCTCTGCAATAGCATTACTTTATTTCAGCACTTCATCATATGCCTTAGACATCTCAAGCCTATGAATTCTCTAGTAACTATTCTGCTTCTAGTGCATTTATGATAATGTGTTTCTCCTAATGGATTTAAAACCATTACTATTTATTTCTAGACCTTAAACTATTTATTCTTCAGACCTCTTCTTGGATCTGTTTTATTGTGCTKTCAAACCTAAACTGACATATTTGTGTCAGTGAAATTACTTCAGTTTTTGCAAGGAYGATTTCTTATGTGCAACATCCTCCCTTACCCACTTACTGAGTTACACTGGCCCATCCCTTGGTASAACTCAAGTTTTTCCTTACAGTTGCACATTTGTTCTTTACAGCAGGTAAGGATGTCCAGATTTTATTCTGTTAGCTGTTCCTTTTAGCTTCTCCATAGCAAAGCTGCCTGATTTTTTTACACAACTCTCCCTTTTCTAATTAAGTACAGTTATATTTGGGGGGAATGMTAGGCTTCTGTCACAAGAACACAAACTCAGTAGTACACTGAGTCAGCCTTCAGCTAAGTGACAGTCACTGAGTCAGTCTCCAGCTAACATTCTGAATGAATCCTACACTCAGGAACAGGAAAAAGGTTGGTTAGGTTGTTTTGTTGGTTTTTTTTTCCCACAAGTTTCCTAAGCCATCACAACATAAAGTCATAGTTTATCGCCCTATAAATTTGTATTGCTACCAAGTGTAATCTGGCAAATGTATCTTTAATTCTAAAATGGTAACAAGGCTCCTAATTGTCAATCTGTAGCAGTATAGTCTGGAAACTGTCATAAGATTGCATTTTGTAGTATTTTGCACAGTAACTGCTTTACAAACCTATTGCCACAATTGTGTGATAGGCACCAACCTGGGAACAAGTTTTCCAAATTTACTTCCTGGTTCTTTTAAACTGCCCCTATGTAATTTGGACAGGCTACTGCAGAACTGTTCAAACAGCCTACATGAATCAGTGACAATTCTATTTACTCCCAAAAAAGTAAGGATTCAAAACATCTCTGTGTTTCAGTGCCTTCTCGGTAGACAAGAATCATCACTTCTAACTTCACAATAAACGAATTAGCATATGATTAATGGTCAGATAATATAATTGAGTAATTACCTAGTAACATTGCCTGGAAAATAAAGAGTTGCTCCAGATGGCAGGAATAACTACTATTTTTTCTTACATTTACAACTACTACAAAAGACAAGCTTTAACAACAAAAATTGTTCCTGTTCATTAACAATCAACTTTATTGCATTACCTGGAATTAAAAAACTGTAGAACTTTTCCATGAGTTTTTGAATCAACTGATTAGCTTTTTTGGGTCTTCCGCCTCCATCACTGAGAAACTCTGGTTTACTTAGCCCGGTTTCAAGAAGGTAAATTCCAACCTGTGAAAAGGTTATACAGTTAATAATATAATTAACAGTTAAATTGACAAGAATGCTATAAACAGAAGAGCATGAAAATAACAACAGGGCTTTGAAAATTAGCAGGTATAGACAGTTATAATAAATCTACTAAAAACACCATGTGGAGGAATTACAGCTAAAAGCTTCTGTGATTCCTTCAGGAAATGCATTGCTAATGGTAAATATTTCTAGGAAAAAACACAGGGAAAACATTACAAAAGCATGTAGAAATTATATATTTTCATCACATTACCAATATGGGGTAACTACCAGACTTTGCTGTTCACATGTTTTTATCTTACATTTCAAACAGAAAAAAGAGTAACATTCAAAATGCAAAACAAGTATAACGAATACATACCTTTAAAGACTGAGCCTCTCCAGGTCTTTGATAAAGTCCAATTATCTTCTTCTTTTGCAACCATCTCAAGCCTTCCAATATTTCACCACTTAAACTTGATTCCACCAAAATACGTTGTTCATAAGTGCCCAGGTATTCTTTTGTTTCATTGCTGTACTCTTCTTCACTTCTTTCATGAATGCAGACCTGCAGCTCATCATCAGAGTCTCCTCTCATTAAAGTAAAGCTCCTGTCATGGATTTCGTCAGTTAGAATTTGCTCAGAAGGCAGATGAAGAGTAAATTCTCCCAACAAAGCTTTCCAAGACCTATCTGCACGGTATGGCAAAACTATAATATTTAGCTGTACAGACACAGGAGTCAAGATGGAATAAGAGTCTTCTTCATCATTAACTGTCAAAAACTTAACAGATTTTGGGCCACTGCCTTCTTTCTGTACAAGATCTTCATCAGYGCTATCATCATTTATAACAATGAGGGATGCAGAAGTGCTTGGAACTGGAACATGGTCCTCGTTAGTTACTTCATCATCTAATGTCACCACCTCATTTCTCCGGTCTTCATGCATATTCCAGCACAGCTTTTTCTTCTTCTCCTCATCCACTTTTGATGGAGGTGCACGTTTTCGACGACTGCTCATTTTGCCGTCTTCTTTATGGTATTTTCAGGATCTGCAAGGTGAAGCAAATCAGTCAGCAATGGGCATTACAAACTCAAATGCCCACACTAGAATTTCACTATGCAAAATTATGGGACACAAACATATGTACTATGCACTCAAACTGTTCAAAAGTATTAGCTTTAGAGGGCCTGTTCTATTCCCGTGCCATCCCACAGGGGTGGACATGAAGCATTGTCTTGTACTAGATCTTACAATTTTGCCAGACAGCTACAGACAAAGATCAACAATAATGCTTAATTTCACAGCTGTTACTCAGAATCTTGTGGGATAAATATAAACCAAGAAGCAGTGGAATCCTTCAAAGATGGAGGTGGTGGGAGACAGCAAAAAAAAAAAAAACAACCTCCACAAACAAAAATGCAGGAAGTACGGGAGATTTGGGGGCGGGTGTGGGGTAAATACAGATAAAACTGCTCTTTCCTTTCAAAGCCTACATAGAGATGAAACTTAAAGSAAACTTGACACAGGGCTAGTCTGAAGCTGCACTACATAAAATATGGTTTCAAACCCAAGTGATCAAGTTCTGTCCTTCCAAGTTCCCAGTGACCTTCCTACTCRTATTGAATATTTTATTTTCCCAGGAAACCAGACATCCTGGGCCCTGCATATACATACTGTTTGCGGAAGATCCCTTAGTTATTTATTGTACATTTCAGTGGGACCAATCACCAAACCAAATGCAGCCTCRCTGATTTTGACTAACTGCAAACTTAAGCCAAGATGCGCATACAGCTCCTCAATGCAACCTGGCTACAGAACAGATTTAGTGTATAAAATACTTGAAAACAAAGAATACCTGCCAAATGGTACATATGAAGAAGGAAATTATGGAATATTAGACCCATCCGGGAAACTAACAGCTGCATACTCAAAACCACATGCTAATAAGTAACTACTCAAAAAAGGTAGTAACTTTTTTTTCAAGAAAACATTTTTTTATAAGGAGCCTGAACACAGCAATGGATCTATGACCTCATATTACACTTAGTCTGTGTAGATATTTGTGCCAACTCAGTTTGTGCATAYAACTTTTAAAGAAAGGTAGGATGATGAGAGGAAAATATTCCAAGCTACTAAATCCRGTACACTATATCCTAATGTTAAAGGGGCTTATGCTCGACAGAATTATTGTTACTGAATAATTTTAGAAGGGTCTTTGGGAAAAAAAAAACAAATGAAAAATGTAACAAACAAACATAATAATTCATGAAAGCCAAAGGAAATATCTTGGCATATACAAATCTCGTGCTTGAATTTCAAACAGAGAAATCAATTAGGCTGGAGAAGACCTCTGAGATTATCGAGTCCAACCTGTGACCGAACACCACCTTGTCAACAAGACCACAGCACTCAGTGCCACATCCATTCTTGCCTTAAATACCTCCAGGRATGGTGACTCCACTATCTCCTGGGGCAACCCATTCCAATGTCTTCTCATCCTTTCTGTAAAGAAATTTTTCCAATGGCTCAAACTAAACATTCCCTGGCACAGTTTAATGCCATTTCTTCTCATCCTGTCACAGTTGTCCAGAACAGGCCGATCCCCCCCCGGCTACAACCTCCTTTCAGGCAAGTTGTAGAGAGCGACAGTYTCCCATAATCATACAACAGAACTAAGGGAAGGAAGAGCGAGTTTCTCAGAATAATGATCATGCACACGGAGCGATACTGACAGCACTCGAAGCAAATCCCGACGGCGAGCAAACACTGCACTAAACCCAGAGGCAAACGGTCCCTGCGGCATCCCGGCCTGCACGTGCACGCCAGCTTGGGCATCGCAGTCTCAGGGACAAACGGAAGGGAATCGCTCGGTGTGCGTGGGGACAGCTTACAGCTCCCGCGTCCGGGCACAYGGGGCAGGTGGAGCGGCCGGGGCTCTCTGCAGAGGCAGCTCCGCCGCGGCACCGAGCGCTCGCCGCCCCCGAGGCCTCCCATACCGCGCTCCGCCGCAGGGACGCGGACAGCTCTCGTTGTCTCCAAGGAGAAAAAGTGACTGTAAGCTCGGGAAGGCGAGCTCAGCACCGGGATGCGATACTCTCGGCGGCAGGCACTGTACCACCGTGACATCTGCCACCGGCGGGGTCTGCGCGGCTGCGGTAACCCACCGCCGCCGGCGCCCGGAACACCGCGCAGTCGGCCCGCKGCATCCACCGCTACCCAGGGCCACTCGCATAGGCCCCGGGCCGCCTGGCCCCGTCGCCGCCGTCCGCGGCACGGCCGCCCCGCCGCGCAGGGCGAGCGGAGCAGACAGAGGGGCCGCTCACCGGCATAGCGCAGGGCGGGGGGCGGCCCGGGGTGAGGGGAGCGGGGAGCGGGGCGCGGAGCCGCGGACGTACCGGAGCGGTGACGCTGCTGCCCCGGCGGCCGCGGCTCCTCCCGGCCCGGGCGGGGCGGGACCCCCCACGCGCTGGCGGGGATGGGGGGATGGTCGGGGGTGGGGGGGCGCGAGACCGCACCGCCCCTGGCAGCGCCGGACGGAGCCCCCGGGCAGAGGAGCGGGGGCGGTGCTGCGAACAGGGGCGGGCATTGGGGCGCGCCCGCACCCGCGCGGAGCCGAGCGGCAGCCAATGGGCTTCGGGAACCGGAGCATACGCCCTGCTCCTCCCTTACGTAAGCGGAACAAAGAGACGAGAAGGACGGAGGATGGCGCAGGCGCAGTTGGGTGCGCACAGGGCAAGGGGAAAGGGCAGTTGCCCTAAGTGGGGCGTGGCTGAAGGAGGGGCAAGACGCGTGTGTGACGTCAGAGATAGTGGGCGTGGCCKGGCGGCACGCGGCAGAGTGGCCCTGAGGGGTGGGGGAATCGGGCGGGGGGCGGTGAGAATCTGGTGCGATCCTGGGARTGCGAGACAAGTTCCACCTGAACGTGAGGAAGGACTTCACTGTGCAGGTGGCCGTGCACTGGAACAGATTGTCCGGAGASKCTGTRGAGTCTCCGTTRCTGGAGATGSTCCAGAACYGTCTGGAGGCAATCTTGTGCCGTGTGCTCTAGGATGACCCTGCCTGAGCAGGAGGTTGGGCCAGATGACCCACTGTGATTCCCTTCCAGCCTGACCCACTCTGTSATTCTGTGGGTGAAGCACTTGGCAAAAGAGAGAGGCTTTTTCATGCAACTGACAAGAGCGATCAAAAGAGCGAGTTTGCTAGCAGTTTCGCTGCTAGCACTGCGAAAACGCAAAATCAGGCCAATTAATTATTAACAAATGTCACTTCAGTGAAACTACAGAAATAAGCTGGTGAAGCTGCTGAGGGAGCTGATGGTCTTTAGCCTGGAGGAGACTCAGTAGAGACCTTACTGCTCTCTACAGCTCCCTGAAAGGAGGTTGTGGCCATGTGGGGGTACATCTCCCAGGGCAATCAGCAACAGGATGAGAGGACATTGTCCAAAGCTGTGCACGGAGATTTAGATTAGACATTAGGAGGAACTTCTTCATCCAAAGGCTGACTACTTTGGAGTGGACTGTCCAGGGAGGTAATGGAGTCCCTGTCCCTGGAGGTGTTTAAGGCAAGACTGGATGTGACACTCAGTGCCATGGTCCTGTTGACAAGGTGGTATTTAGTCCAAGGTTGGACTCAATGATCTCAGAGKTCTTTTGCAACCCAACTGATTCTGCRATTCTGTGAAATACATAGATTGATGCTTGGAGACAGCTGTAAATACACAAATAGAAACCCCTTGATAGCAAGAAGGTGAGGTTCTCTTTTATAACATTCTTTCAAGCAATTTTTAATATTAGTCTTTACAAATTAATTCTTTACTTGCCTGTGTGGGTTTTTTACCATTTTCATCCCTTCTGAAAGGCTAAAGCCCCTGTGGGTTCAGAAGAGCTGCTCAAAACTGTAGTGTGCAGTAGCTTTGATGTGTTGGCCCTTATGCCAACCAGCCATGGTGGTTTGACTGTTTTAATTCACAGTCTTTAATTTTACATTCCTAGATTAAAATTAACCTAAAAGTCATCACTTGTTCCTATGCTACAACAAGAAATTGATGCAGAGCAGAGATGAAAGGGAAGACACAATCACATAGAATCATTTAGACTAGGAAAGACCTCTCAGATCAAGGCCAGCCTCTGACTGATCACCTTCTCAACCAGATGATGGCACTAAGTGTCACATCCACTCTCTCCTTTAAACACCTCCAGCAACAAGGATGCCTCCACCTTCCTGTGAGCAGTCCTCCGTTCCAATGTTTAATCACCCTTTCAGTGAAGAAATTCCTTCCAATGTCCAACCAGAACCTACCCTAGCACAGGTTGAGGCTGTGTCCTCTCATCCTGTCACTGGTTGCTTGGGAGAAGGCTCCGATCCCACCTGGCTACAGCCTCCTGTCTGAGGGGGAAGAGAGAGATCATGGGTCTGGGATCCAGTGTAGAGCCTGCTAATGGAGATCTTTGGTGTGTAGGGAACACTYATTCTGAACTTCTTGAGTGTACTCTGACACAGCTGGAGGCACAAACCTTTCCAAAGAGGTGTCCCTGCTTCGGGGAAGAACGAGGAGCAAGCGTGTTGATTTGTCTGACCTCTCAGCCTCTGGCACGAAGGACTTCAAATGCCAGTTAATACTTTTAACTGAGTTTGTGCTGCCGTCATAAATGGCGATGGGGACAGCCAATTTGTATGCAAAAGGAACAATTCATATGTAGTGGAACAAAGAGAGGAGTTACAAAGGCTGTGGGTCTAGTGAAAGGGTGAAACAGAGCCAAGACACCTTAGCATCACTCCCTCTTCCATCTGACTGCAGTGATAAGGGTCATCTCCCCCACAGCACACCATTCACACATCTCATGGAAATCTCTTAGCTGCAAATCTCATAGCATATCTCATGAAACATGACTGTTATCTTGCCTCTTGTGGCTCCATATGAGTGTTTGAGACATTTCTTGGAAGAATATAAAGGGGTCTCCAGCCACTGTGTCCATCCTTTGTCTGAAGGAGTTTTGATTTGTTGTCTAGCCACTTACAATATTTTTATATAATGGTCAAGAGCAGGTGGAAAAATCCCCATTTCTATTCAGCAGCTAATGACTAAGGATCCTAGTGATTAGCACCCAGTAATTTCTCTTGTGTTCTAAAAAACTTCAGTGCATRAAAGAAGATAATTGCCATGTAATCTAACAAAATAAAAAGAACCAGTATAAAGARGAGATAATATGACATAAAGCAAGACCATGTGATTTTTTTCCACACTTGAGAACATAGCTTCCCTTGCCTATGAATAAAAACTCCCATATGCTATTAAAGAGTACCAACTCTTTAACCCAAGAAAGAGTAAGAAAATAAAATCAGGAAATGTGCTACTTTACAAAGGGTTTTTCTTTTGAAGGAGGATAGAGAAAACGGCATGTTAGTTGTTGTGTTATTTTAAAGTAATTTTCTAGTTGCGGAGGCAAGCAGAAATTTTCTAAAGAAAATCAAAATCGTATTTGTCTCCAAATTGGCTCTGGCAGGAAATGTGAAAGTTTGTAGCAAATGGATAAAACTGGATAGATTCTATTCCCTGCACTACAGTGATTGTATGTTATGCTGTGCCTCAGCAAGCTCCTGTGTTACCCYGGTAGTTAACTAGAAGGAAAAATCTATTGAGCTCTTTTGATAAAAACACTATGTGACAGAAATGGAAGGATGGGCCCCAGTGGAAACATAATATCCTTCCAGTCTATTCCAGATTCATAAAATTGTGATCAGTATTCTGTGCCTTGGTAGGAAATTATTTTCATAGGTTGAGCTCTACCCAACTTCCATGGTGTTTGGTAYATGTAATAGAAAATAATGTAACTATCGTAGTGGGACTTTGAAAATGTTATCATATAATTGCTAGCATCCACAGTGCATAATGCTGCTTTGGGCAGAAGAGTGGAGGATTTAAATATTTTTTGGAGAGCTACAAAGAGCAGAGTATTACTGTGTGCCAGAAGCAATCATGTAAGCCAGTAAGCCCAGCACATAAAAAATACCATGGGGCTGTGATGGCAAGCCTCTCTTTTTTCACTTCTTCAGGGCTTCCATTCTGTTTTTTCAAAACAGAGTTCAGCATGTCACGTGTGCCCTTCTGCSTCTTAGCATGGCATCTCCTGGGGGAAGCTACCTGCACCCCACAGGATAACACACTTCAGGCCATCTGTCTCAGCTCACGTGTATGCACAATTCTTGTACACCCTTGTCCATCTGCCACTCAGCTGAGCTACGTGCTGRTTTTGTGAAAATCAGGTGATACACCTGACCTCAGGACTGACAGCAGCAGCTGATCTGTCACTGGTGGGAGTTAARCCCATCTCCCTTTTTCCAAGAGAAAAGGACAGTTAAAAAGACTATCTAAATATAGAGCAGAAAAAAAAAAATAACCATGTCATTGCATCTAGGACATCATCTAGGGTTACTGTGTAGGATTTGAAATTCAGTTCTTGGAATTATTTAAATATATACCTAAATAAAATGTTTTCCTTGCTTTAATTTTCATTTTTAAAGCCTTTTTGTAATGTATAATAAAAAAATATACCTAAATAAAATGTTTTCCTTGCTTTAATTTTCATTTTTAAAGCCTTTTTTTTATTATACATTACAAAAATGCATAAAGGAGAAGTTTGCAGTTCCTGAGAGAGTACAAGCTTTTGAATAAAACTAGAATTTAGGAAATAAAATGTCAATAATAAAATCATTGAAAGCATTTGAAAATTTAGGCTCAAAATATACATGTTTGTAACATAATACAGGGCACAGTGGTTTGGAGGAGAGCTGAAGGATGTTCCCAACAAAGAGATATTTCAGACATTATCTATTAGAGATATATTTCTTGGCAATGAAAAATGCTGATTTTCACACTCTGGCAAGAGACGGTTTGAATTCATAACTTTCTCTGTAATATAAAAATTAAGAAAATCAAAGCTGCTTGCAAAATTCTTATCTATATTTTCTACTACGGATAAAAAGGCAAATCAAATCCAATTTGAAACAAAAATATTTGGTCTTCTGGAGCAATTTTATTTTGGTCTCTTTCCTCATAAAGAAGTGATAAGCAGTCTTGGTAGTTTCTAGAAAATATGAACTTCATCAAGGTTGTTATTTCTTTGATTTATAAACTTAGAAGTATAGAAAGATCTACCATACTCAAGCCAGAAATCATTATATTTATGTAACACAGATGAAAATCTACCTCCACAGATGTTTTCTTTGAGTTTAACAAGGTTTGATGTTAAAACTAGTACATAAAGATTGATACACCTTCTTTGCAGAAGGTTAATAATTCATTCTCTTTAGAGAAGTATTAAATGATCTGTTTAGAATTCACCTTTGAGGCCTCATGGGTGGTTACCTGACTCAGAAGAAGCAGCAGGTTTCAGAGGGGACAGGCTGTGCACTGCCCAGCATTTGCTCTGCTTCTGGGCTGCAGGGGCAGGCAGTGCTGACTCACGGACTGCACAGGACATGGAAGAGCTGAGGACATGCCACAAAGCTATCAGCAACCTTCCCGGTGCTTTAGGGGAGCTGCACCTTTCCTGAGTGTTGTTAGTGCCAGGCAGCATTTCTGCTG